AAAAGTTTTTACATTGGCAAATAAATCACTAAATTCGAAGAAAAATTGCATGCATTTTGTGTGCACTTGTTTAGCATTTGAGGGTAGAGTGGATATAATAGGGGAAATGTGCATATGATGGACCCCTTAAGAAAAAAGCTCCATAATAATTTTAATTATTTACTTAGAAGCTTTAAATATGAACACATAACGTCTTGTTATTTGTATAATATGCAAATGTTTCAAATTTTGATAAAAATTAAGATGACAAAAGGTATTCATAGTTTACTAAAATTCTGTTAAGGGTCCATCATGGGCATATATGAGCTCATGATGGACCCTTTGAATCATTTTGTATAAAATAAGTAAATACCAAATTATTTTATTAAACCAAAAGATATTCTAAACGATAAATAATATTACAAATCGGTATTTTTAAGAAAAAAGTTACATGCACAATTCACACACAAATTGTTTACGTCCAGGATTTACATCGCACATTTATTGTGACACCAATTCTTACACACTTGACAACGAATCCATTTTTCTTTGGATCGTGAATGCGAAAATAGTTCGTTAGAGTAAATGCAAGCTGCATTTCGAGTCGTCTTCTTCAAAAGAAGATTCACAATCGTCTTCAGAACTGTTTGTAGTTGAAACACGAACTTGCCTTTTCACTTTTTTTACGTCTTGTTTTTTTTGCTTCTTTTTCTGCAATTTTTTGTTTTATATCATCAATTTCTGGCGTTGAATTTAAATATCCTGTTTTACCCCGTTTTCTACCCCGTTTTTAAAGTTATTTCAGATACTCCAGCTAAGGGACGTACACAGCAAGTTCGTATTAACAATTATATTTCAAAAGAATTTCATTGTTATTCTGGTGTACCACAAGGGTCTCATTGTGGTCCCTTGTTTTTTAACTTGTTCATTAACGATATTGGTAAGGCTATCAAAAACTCACACTTTCTGCTATTTTCTGATGATCTTAAGATATTTCGTTGTATACATAATAAATCGGATAGAGATCTCCTGCAAGATGATGTAAACAACATATGTTTATGGTCAAAACAAAATGGTTTAAGCTTAAATCCAACTAAATGTTCTGGTCGTATAAATAATCTAATGGCTAATAGATATATTCTTAATGATGTACTCTTGGATTCAGTTACTGAGATTAGAGATTTGGGTGTATTATTGGATTGTACACTGACATTTAGAAGCCATTTTCTTAAAATTAAGGAAACAGGATTTCGTAATCTTGGTTTTATTTATTGCAACAGTCATGATCTCTCACCTATTGTATTTAAATTATTGTATTGGTCTCTGGTACGCTCAGGTCTTAAATACTGCTCTGTTGTCTGGTCCCCGTTTCATCAAGTATACATTGATGGATTGGAGAGCGTTCAGAGGAAGTTTCTAAGATCTTTAGCTTTTAAAGTCCATATTAATATAAAAAATACTGAAAATTATTTCATAGATTATTCTATAATAATGTCTCATTTTAACATTGATACATTGAAGAACCGCAGGTTGAGAGCTGATATGTTATTTTTGTTTAAAATTCTGAACAATGTTATTAATTGTCCCTCGTTATTGGCCAATGTACACTTAAACACAATGCATAGAACTCGACACACTGCACTTTTTCATATTCCTTTTCATAGGACTGATTATGCTCGTCATTTTCCCCTGTCAAGAATGCTCAGCTCTTGCAATGACCTCCTATTGGATCCTTTCTGCATAAACATTAATGCTTTTAAAAGGCAACTTAAGAATCTGACTATTAATCTAGATATGTGATACTTACTATATGATACTGATACTTTTTTAAAATTTTTGTGATATGATATATTGTTTTAATGTACAAATTTTAACTGTTTACTTGTTTCTTTGATATTGTTTTGATGTTTATTGTAGGTACATGATCTTTACCTTTTACTATTTTTTGTATTTTATTGTAAATGGTTCTACCGTTGGAATGAATAAATAAAATAAAATAAAAAATATCTTCGACCTAGATGTTTAGGACTTACGATGATGTTGATTTCTGATCAGTGATTTCTGATAAACCTTCAATAAAAAAAAACATTTTGGTTCCGATGTTCCGTTAGTGAGTTCTCGTCAGAACATCCTGGTAGTGAGTTTTGTTCATAATTTTTAATATCTGTTGTTATATACGGCAATAATTGCCAGTCCTCGAAGACATCTGGATTAAACGGTTCTATTTCTGTCTTTTTAAAGGCAATCATTGCATTTGCTGTTTTACCTGGATTCTGTCGCAGCCATAATTGAATTTCTTGGCCGTAGTAAGTTTGAAGTGGTCTAAAAATTCCTACGTCCAAGGGTTAATCGTGGTCAGAGCAGTGAGCACGAAAACAAAACATCATAATACCGTTTTTTTTGCGAACTGGAGAGCTTCAAAACTTTTATGACTACCATGACCATCGAGTAACAACAAAACTGGTTGGTTTTAGGAGCCTTTAAATACCTAAAAAAATGTTGCAGCCAGAGACAAAAAATGTCAGAAGTCATCCATCCTTTTTCTTGAGCGAAGGCTACACTTCCAGTAGGTGCATCGATCATAAGGTCGTCTTTCTTTCTCTGTCGAGGAAAAATCAAAGCAGCAGGAACATATACTTCATCTAATTTAGATAACGACTTACGTCATTATCTACGTCAGAGATCGAAGTTGACATAGTTGCCAAAGTATAAAAAAATCCTGACTCCATTTTAAATCAAATAGATTACATAATTATTGCAAAAGTATTACCATCTCTTTACAACGTAAATATTTAAATTCTTACGTGACATTTTTGAAATAAAACACACTAATTTTGTTCTAAAAAAAAACAGATTTTATTAAATAGTTAAAAATACAAAACAAGAGATATTCACTTTAAAATTTAAAATAATGAAGTACAAAAAGTGTCAACACCGGAACTGTCAAATAAGTGTTACCAATTTATGCCAAAATTTTACCTTCGTTCAAATACAGTTACAGTGTGTTCCGAACAAATGTTCTTGATAAAAACGCTTTATAATGCATTTATACAAATTAAATGAAACATATTATTGTGTATTTCTTTAAGTTAACATTAATAGAAATTTTTAAATATTATTTCTACGCGTATATAATAAAATATTTCTAGTGGCTGTAATGCTAGTGTACTCGGTAAAGTGATTCTAAAAAAGAACACACCTACCGCCTAAATATTTTGTGTTGGTATCATGTGACGTCACAGGCTATGACGCCGATGACGTGCATCGGTATATAAATTAGATGAAGTGTATGTTCCAATTGCATTCATTTCACATACGACCGTAACATGTGCTCCGTGCTCCGTGCTCTGCACCGTGCTCTGCACCACTTAAAGCACCAACTTGTTTGCGACCTTTACTAGCATAAATCTTCTGCGATCTCTTTTGCGCAGTTGTAAAAATGGACTCGTCCATGCTATAAATGTTTTCCGGTGGAAATTGAAACTCGTCTAATATATGTGCTAATTTTCTGGAGTTTGTAATGATATTCGAGGATTTCGCTTTAAAAAGGCTCTGACCCATTTCCAGCCTGCCATATTGGTTTCCTTATTAAAGCTGTAGCTAATATTCTTCCTTTCAGCTACTTCGTATACAAGTTTTCGTAAATTTTTACTGGTCAGGCCAAAATAACGAGCTTCCATGGTGATAATATGGTCACCAATTTCCTTTTCAATAGCAGTGAAAAATATTGGTCTTCGTCCTGCCAAATCACCTTTGGTACTTCCTTGTTGCTTATTAAAACGCCTTTTCAAAGTCGTTTTTGGAACGTTAAATGTTTTTGCTGCCAGTTTAAACCCCATAGTTTTTTCTTGTATGCTTTTTAAAGCTTGCTGCATATTACTCTCATGCCACTGTGGCCTTTTATGAGGATCTATCCCTGTATAATGTAGTATGTCAATCGTTAAGTAGCAACTTATTTCCTTTATCCTATGATGGACTCCTAGTCCGTCGTAGGTAACGACAAAGGGGTCTATCATAGGCAAATAGACAAGACAGTAAAACAGGTGTAAAATTTTGACTGGTAAATTGAAAATGTGGTTATTACTTACGTCTATATAGTGTTTGGAATTAGCCAGATGATGAGGTCAAATGACCCTTAAATTACATAATTTGAGTAACTAACATTATAATTAATAAGACACATCTTTATCATCGTTATCATCTTCAATTATGAACTGCTCCATAAAGTTTATAAAAACCATGTCTAGTAAAATGAGTTTTACTTACTCTGAACAGTAGAAATACTAGGTAAACTTGAATACCATCGTTTTTACTGGCCATCTATTATACTTTTTTACGTTTTGGTACAGGGAATTACTAATTATCTTCAGAGTTTTCGCTCCATAAATTGCTTTCGTCGCATTCAGTATCAGATAACATCTCGTCTGGAAGCATTCGAATTCGACGTTTTTCTTTCTCACAACTCATTTTTCCAACTCCCTATAACACTTTGATCAAGTATACTCGCCAAAAGTACGATTACAAATATCAAACAGATAAAATTTGCGGCACTAGTTGCATGCCGCATGGCCACAGTTAACAAAAATTTTTCTTTAGGTTCTGCTGCAGTTAAGCTGGGTCGCAAAAAAAAACAATAAATAATATTTTATTGGTAAAATAATACTGCAACTTTTCTAAAATATATTCAAACAAGTAAATGTTAATGTAAATTACAAAACTCACGAGGTGGCCTGGGGGATAATTTTATTTTTATTTTTAACTGGCGATTAACGAGTTAAGAAATATATCTAAATATGTAACAATAAAACACCGAGAACTTTGTTTTCAAACTTCCACAAAATTATGTGTGGAGTTTGTGGAAGTTTGAAAACAAAGTTTTCAGTGTTTTATTGTTACATAAAATGAATTTCCATCAAGTAACGTAACAATTTCCAATCCATCAATTATTCAAATATCTAGATATTACTAATATAGAGAAATATTTCAATATCTAACTGATGTCTTTTTATTTTTTTTTTCAGCAACTGGGATAAGCAGATAGAAAAAGCCAAGAAAACAAACTCAAAACCAAGTTTACTGAAAGCCATTTTTATGACATTTTGGTTAGAGTATCTGAAGTTAGGAATATTCGACATAACAACAGATTTAGTTCTTAGACTAGTCCAACCAATAATGCTTGGAAAGCTATTAGATTACTTTAAACCTGAAGCACAAGTTTCGAAAAATGAGGCTCTTATGTATGCAGGAATTATAGTGGCTATAGGCGTATTAAACTTTTTAATCGGAAATCAATATATGATAGAGGGTTTCCACAGTGGCATGAGAATAAGAGCAGCCTGTTGTGCTGTTATATATAGAAAGGTAATTATAGAAAGTCAAATTAATTAATATTACATATTGAAAAAAGTATTTATTTTGGTGCTTTCATTTTTTATTTTCTTTTACGTTCAGCAGCAGACACTACAGATTTTACTGCAAGCAAACTTTTTTTTACAATTATGTTTATTTACAATCTACATCATTAAAAAGTATTAAGTAAATTTGTTACACTTTTTGGTTGTGAAGGAGAGACATCCAATGAACTTATAATAAAAAAGCTGTGCATAAATTACTATTACAGCTTGAACCATATAAGGTAATTGACTTTATGAATTCAGATGTGTAACAGGATTATTTTAAATTTTTTTGTTTTTGACGTGTAGAACTTTTAGTTTTTGTATAAGTGTTAGAAGAACTTTTAAATCAGCTCTACCTTTCCTCCCTAGAAGAGGGTTTGAAAATAAACATATCTAAAACCCAGATGATGACAAAATCTTGTAGTTAGCGAAGATATATGCACAATAACAAGATCTATAGACCAGGTTATGGCCTATTAATACCTAGGCATGAGATTCTCAGAGGTAAAGACAACCAAACCGTTGAGCTCCTCCGTCGTATAAGACTGACTTGGGCAGCCTTCGTTAAGCTAAACCACATTTTAAAATTGTCCGACATACTAATATGTCTTAAAAGAAAAATCTTGAATCAGCGTGTTTTACTGCGAAACAAGATTTCAAACCGCCAGTTACGACAAAAAGATTAGGTATGGCTAATGTTATAAAGAGAACAGCAACACTGAAATCGAACTGGGCAGGTTAAGTGGCTCGAATGACAGATAAGAGTTGGGCAAAGCGGATATTGGAATAGAGACCAAGAGATCATACCTACCGAAGCCGAGGTCTTTCCAAAGCATGTTGGACTGACGATCTAGAACATTGCCATCGGATGCAAGAGGCATAATATTGAAACTGTGTGAGGGGATTATGAGGAACTGTGTCCAGAAGTAACAACTAACATTATCATTCTTCAAAGGCTAAGAAAAGACAAAGAAATTATTAACTTTGTAAAGTACAGAAAATTGGCTTACCTTGGCTACATTACGCGTAGTACCCACTTCTACAGTTAATTCTACAAGACAAGATTGAGAGCAAGAGAGGCCATGGACGTAAACGTATATCCTGGCTTGCCAATCTTGGGAAATGGACTGGTCTAACGTCAACTGATCTATTGGGAGCTGCTGTGAATAGAATAAAATTGGTCATGTGGATGTGGTTGCCAACATCACTAGAAGATAGGCACCTTTAGAAGAAGAATGTCCGGCAGTAGCCAAGCAAAAATTAAATAATCAGTTAGTGTAAGTTAGTTTTTACTAATTTTAATGAAAGTTCTGCTGCTTCACGCCCATTTTACATTTTTTGTTTGCTTGTCATTAATGACTCTAATGTGATTGATATGATTGGCCATACAAACTCTTGTTATTGATTCAATAATTTGAAATATTAACTCTTTGTTTACAGTCCTTAAAATTGAGCAAAACAGCTTTAGGAGAAACAGCTTCAGGAAAACTAGTCAACCTCTTATCAAACGATGTTAGTCGATTTGATCTTGTCAGCTTACTTATTCATCAAATATGGATCGCACCTGTATTGTCACTTATAATAATGGGATTTTTATACCAGAGAACTGGATATGCTGGAGTAGTGGGAGTTGTGGCAGTTTTTGTGATAGTTCCCATTCAAAGTAAGTCATATTTATTTATAGGTAATAATATATAAAATTATTGTTTTTTAAATAATACTATATATAAAAAGCCAAATAGGTTTTGTTAGTTTTAAAGAATTTCACATCAGCACATAATACGTTTTATTTCTTATTGAACATAAAAACCGAAAACTCTACAATACTATAATCCGTTCACAAATTGTTGAGAGCACGAAATGTGCCTCAAAGTCATAAAACGGTCGTAAAATTTGTATTATCAGAGGCGTTCCTGAGGTGTTTATTCATTAAAATTAATGCGTTTTATATTTATTTTCCTTTCCAAAATATCAGTATTAATAATGTTTTAATACTAATATATTTAGCAAAACACAAATAAAACTTTCACGGCTAATGTTGGTTATTATATTATATTAATAAAAATAAGAATTTAACCATTAACAATTTTGTAAATAAGAATACCTTATCTCCTTGGATATTTCAATACTAATCTTCGCGTTTAATCACTTTACTAGAAAACCTGGAATTCATATCGGAAAGTACTATTCGTTGCAAGATAATTAGGATCGAATTTCCCAAATTTTTAATAATATAATGGGTATAAAGATGCCGGCTTTGGCCACGTGCCTCGTCTGTTCAGTTTACATTCGAAATTTAATTTGAAAGGGTGAAGTTATTACGAACGAAAACAATTTTTTTGTTTAGTACGTTTTTGATCGCATGTAATTTACGGCTCGGCGGTGTTTCCGCGTCTAGGGCAGTAATTAGCGTCTCGAATATTTCATTTGCGAATTATATGCAGTGCGTGAGTGATTTTTTATGCCATATACCTACAAATGTATACGTACCTTTCGCTCGTGCTCGTTTTGTTGGATTATTTGTGATGGCTTCATCATCAACATCATCAAGTTTTACACCGGTACTGTTGCGTACAGTCAGTAAGTCTGTCTATTCACCAAGAGAGAAGTTCATGATGTTCACGATGCTCTGGTTTCTCAGAATCCCACAAAACACTGTTCGCAACATAGTCGAAAATTGTGCCAACATGACTGACGTAGGAGAGTCAACTATATATAGGTTCCTATGAGAAAGAAAAAAACACGGTATAGCTAACCCAAACACAAACGAACACTTAAAGACAGGAAAAAAGCTTATTGAACTTGATCAATGTGCCAAAAATGGTATTCAAAGGAAAATTCATGGATTTTTTTTTCAAAACAGAAATATCAAACCTAAACACAATTTTACACGAAGTTAGAGACGACCCGGATTTACCTCGTATCGGACAAATTAAATTGTGGCAAGTTTTAAAAGAATTAAATTTAGGATGGAAGAAATCAGACCGAAAATCACTTTTGATTGACCGGGAGGAGATAATATGTATGGAGAAGAAATTATCTAAGATCCATACGAAAATTCCGGACTGAAGGAAGACCAATCTTCTACCAGGATGAAACGTTCGTAAACTCAGGTCATACTCCAAAAAAATTTGGTCAGATTAAAATATATTAAGCTCCAGGCAAGCCTTTATGAAAGGTTGGTCTACTGGTAAATCCCCACATTCTGGTAAAGGCAGTAGATTAATAATTTCTCACATTGGCAGTAAAAAAGGATTGGTTAAGCATGGTTTGTTGGAATTTCAGTCCAAAAGCAAAAAAGACTATCACGAGGAGATGACAGCTGATGTTTTCGAAGAGTATTTTGAGCAGATGATTGAACACATACCACCAAATTCAATTATAGTATTAGATAATGTACCTTATCATTTGCGATTAGTAGAAAGACTTCTAACGACTGCGTGGAAGAAACAGGATATTCTTGACTGGATTCGGAATAAGTATCTGCCTTACGAAGATGGAATGGTATAAGCCGAACTTTTAGAATTGCCCGGCAACACAAATCTAAGTTCAAGAAATACGTAGTTGACAAAATGGCGAAAAGGCGAAACATCACAGTCCTTAGACTTCCACCCTACCACTGCGAAATAAATCCAATTGAACTCATTTGGGCACAAATGAAAAGTTATGTGGCTAGAAAAAATAAAATACAAGCTGTACGTGAATTCTTATACGAGTCTTTACAACATATTACAGAACAAAACTGGAAAGATGCAGTAAGACATGTAATAGAAGAAGAACAAAAAATTTGGAATCGTGATAACATAATTGATCAGACCGTAGAGGCACAACCGCTAATTATTAACCCTCAAGACGACTCGGATTCCGAAGTTGATCCTATTTATTTTGAATTTGAATAGTTTTATATATATATATATATATATATATATATATATATATATATATATATATATATATATATATAGCGAGTGTTTGCAACTTTAATTTTGTCGCTTCTCGCATCCCAATCGCCATAATTTCTTATCGGCCCAGTCTCCTTCTTGAAGACCTCTATTCTCCATTTCTATATGAATATTGGATATCCATTTCTTTCTTGGCCTTCCCCTTTTATTTCTCTGTGTAGGTCTCCAGTTCCAAACCTTTCGTGGTATCCTTTCTTCGTTCATCCGTCTCAGGTGTCCATACCATTTTAATTGTTCTTCGGCTATCGTATCCATTATTGTGTTCTTTACCTTTATTCTCTCTCTTATGTTTTCATTTCTTATGTGGTCAAACAAAGTTAACCCGGAACATCATTTCCGTTGAGAGGAGTTTTTGTGACATATTCTTGTTAAAGACCCATACTTCTGACCCATACGTCAGCACCGGCTGAATCATAGCCTGATATATATTTTTCTTTGTTTTTTTAGTTAAAGTTTTATTCCACAGGATCGGATGTAGTGTTTTTATCATGTTTTTTCCTTTTCCTATTTTTCTTGTTATATCTTTGTCGTCTCTCCCGTCTTCGCTTAGTGTAACTCCGAGATATTCGTACTGATCAACGTTTTTAATTAATCCGCTTTCTGTTTCCATGTCTTGACCGATGCCTCCTATATTCATGTATTGTGTCTTTTCGGTATTAACCTCTAATCCCCATTTTTTGAATTCGTCTATTAGTTTGTTTATCATGTACGTCATATCTTGTAGGTCCTCGGCAAGAACTACCTGGTCGTCTGCGAAGAGGATTGTGTATATAGGAGTGTCATATACCCATATGCCCATTGGGCTGCATTTTCTCATCCAATATTTTAAAGCATTACCAAGATATATTTTAAATAGGGTTGGGGAGAGGCAAGAGCCCTGTTTGACACCCTTTGTTTGGGTGAAACCCTTGGAAATTTGGTTTCCAACCTTAATATAAGCTTGGTTATCTTGATATAGCTTTTTCACGGCATTTATATATACTGCATTTATACCTGCGTTTTCCAATGTTGTCCATAGTCTCTGCAGTGGTACGGAGTCAAACGCTTTAGGGAGATCTATAAAAGTGGCATGAAGTTCTAGTCCTCTTGCTAATCTCTTTTCTATTAGATGTTTGAGGGTAAATACATTGTCGACACAAGATCTCCCTGGTCGGAATCCACTTTGTTCTTCGATCTCTGTGGCTTCTTTTTCTATTCTGGCTTTCAGAACTCTTTCATACAGTTTGCCAGTGGATGACGTAATGCTGATACCTCGGTAATTACTGCAGTCATTCCTGTTTCCCTTTTTGTAGATGGAGTTTATGTACGAGACTTTCCAATCTCTTGGGATACTTTCTCCTTGTAGGCACTTGTTAAACATTTTACAAAGCAATTCTAATGTTATTGCAGTGGCATGTTTGAATAACTCGATAGGTAAATCACCCGGCCCAGGAGCTTTATTATTTTTATTTTTTGTAATGCGTTTTTTATTTCTTCTACGGTAATCATCGCCACTTCATTTAACCCCGTTTCAACTCTATCTATATGTGTGTCTAGAAACTGTGTACGTTGTTCATTTAAGAGATTTTCGTAATAATTTTTCCATCTTTCTATGTCTATGGGGTTTCTTTTTTTGTTTCGTTTGTATTTTTTCTAAGACTGTTGATAGTTTTCCAAGCTTGTCTGGACCTAGATCCTCCTATCATTGAGCTTATTTCTGCACACTTGTTGTCCCAGGTTATGTTTTTGTTTTTTTAATTTCCTTTTTTACTATATATTTGTATCTGTTATAGTTCTTTCGGTCTTCCTCATCTTTTGTCGCTAACCATTTGAGATACAGTTTTTTCTTTTCTTCTACCAGTTCTAATAAACCTTCTGTCCACCAATAATTTCTACGTTTTACTTTTTCTTTCGTACCTAGAGCTTCTAATGCTGCTTCATGAATTTTGATTTTCAAAGTCTCATACATTTCTTCCGCTGTTCCGTTTATTTCTTGATTAAAATACATTGAACATTTTGCCAGGCGACATTTGGCGCCCTTCCCCTTAATTAAATAAATGTATCTTTTACAAATGGCAAGAAACTTTTTATTTTTGAATAAAATCAAGGAGTTTTATTAAAACAAAAATATAATTTAAAAAATATATTTATTTAGTTCAAATAAATGTTTCAATCATATGTTCTATGATACTGGTCGGTCATGTGTAACCAAAATACCTTCGTAATCGGATAATAAGGTTGACGCTGTATTGTATTCCTTCAGATACAAGGTGGGTTAGTCGAAAACATCTTAAACCGTCAGTTTCAGGTTGGTTTTTACTATTATATCGCATTACCTATCCTCTCTGTATTTCAGTTCTCTAATTAAGGTTAAACTTGTAGTGAGCTATCGACAAATTGTGAACCGATTGTAGGTATATTATAAAATTTAACTCAATATCTAAAACGCCGATTGTTTTAGCATATACTGGAAAGCTATCTGCAAAATATAGAAAACAGACCGCTATGAAGACAGACGAGAGAGTCAGGTTAATGGACGAAATCCTCTCAGGAATTCAAGTTATCAAAATGTACGCATGGGAAATACCCTTCAGAAAAGTAATACGCATTGCCAGGCGAAATGAAATAAAAATCATTACAAAATCTGCATATGTGAGAGCTGCATTTATGGCACTGAACCTGTTCACAACTAGATTGGCGTTATTCTGTACTTTGCTGACTGTTATTTTGTCGAAAGAACAAATTACAGCCTCTATGGTAAGTTTTTTTTTATTTCAATCAATAGATTTAAATAGTAGATGTTACTATTATCTTAGATACTTCTCCTATATTATTTTGTATTAGGGTTATTTTTAGACTTTTGTCTAATTTATCACTTAATATTCTTGTTATGCTTTCTTATTCCAATTTTATTATTTCATTGTTGGTTTTTACATTGCTGTCTTTCTCATTGTATTATGTTTATTTTAAATTTTATTTAAGTTACGGCTAAGAAGTGATCTGAATCGACATTTACTCCTTTGAAGGACCTGACGTCGTTGATTGAAGTTTTTTTTTCTTACTGATATATACTCTATTTGATTTCCATCATTTTTCCGAGTAGCTCCCATGTAATTTTATATTTTTTGTGCTAGAACATAGCACTCATTATCTGCATGTACGTAGCTATTTCACAATTGCAAATCATTTTATTATTATCGTTTGTTCCCTAATCTATTGTTTGCATTCCCGATACTTCTTTACATAATTATTCCTTGTCAATTTTCGCACTGATGTCTCCTATTGTCATAATCAAATCATGTTTTGGCAATTGTTCATAAGCTTTTTTAAGATTATCATAAAATGTTTGTGCAGTCGTATCTGCTGCCTCTATCAATGTTTTTCAGTAACGTTATAAAGTTATTTTCTTGTGGCATCCTAATGCAATTTACTACTTTTATTGGAAATATATGGAAGAACCAATACTAAGAGGGAGAGTTACTCAACTTGATCAAGGTACGAAGAATTGGATCCATAAATTGGGCCATATAAGCAAAATTAAATATACTAATTGTTATTTTGTGTACAGCATCCTGTACTCTAGTTCTTTGTTAAATTTTCGTAATGGGAATCAAAACTCATAGAAATAGTTACAATTATGAACTTTCCATCTTCTTTATTCCATCATATGCTCTCCAAATTACGTTTTTTGTCTCTGATATTTCGCTTAACTAGGATCTAGTTGTTAATTCACAGTTATTTACCTTGAATTTAATTATTATTGGTTATAATACCATGTGCCCCAGAGGTATCAAAATAATTTTTAAAGCACTGAATCAAATACTATCTCGAAAAAAAAATCAATGATATTTGATAATGTTTAAATTAATGTGCGATTTATCTTGTAGGTTTTCGTTGTAATGTCTTACTTTAACGTTCTTTCAATGGCTATGTCCACCATGTTTACTAGAGGAGTATCAGAAATAGCAGAATGTTTGGTAGCTGTTCGAAGAATTAGAGATTTCCTTCTAAACGAAGAATACGATCCAAACAGATCAACTTCTGGTATGAATGGCAATGTCAAAAGTGTCGACGATTTTAAGGAAATTATTAGCTTAAAAAATTTGACTGTAAAATGGAATTTAAGTTTCAGCGACAATGCTCTAGAGAATATAAATTTAAATGTTCCAGATGGGCAGTTAATAGGAATTATTGGACCTGTAGGTAGTGGAAAGAGTTCATTATTGCAAACCTTACTAGGTAAGTGATTATATATATATATATATATATATATATATATATATATATATATATATAGATTAATCTATTTAATTTATTAAGCAAAAGTAGGATGGTAGGATGTTTTTTTGTTAATTGGTATGGTAATGCTAGACCTACACTGGTACAGTAACAGGTGATTCAGTGAAACAACACGATTGGGCAGTGCTGCTGACGAAAAAATAGGGGAGCCGCCCCTCACTCCAGTTCCTTCTAACAACGCTATTCAGGACTGGGAAGTGGTTCAATATTACGGAAAAAAAGATTCTTTCTGCCACGACGAAGCTTAAATCTGGGATTAAGCTATATCGCTACGAGCAGAATTTTGCATAAAAATCTCCAGTATAATCCATATGTTGATTCTACAAGGCAAGATTGAGGGTAAGAGAGGCGCTGGACATAGACATATATCATGGCTGGTCAATCTTAGGAACGTCTAACATCAATTGATCTATTTCGAGCTTCTGTAAGTAGAATAAAATGGGTCAATGTGGTCGCCGACATCTCTATAGAAGATAGGCATATTTAGAAGAAGATGATCAATACAAAATCCAGATTGTGCAAGCCCTTAACGTCAACCAACTAGGGTTTTGTGATCAAATTTTGGAGCATTTCAATGCAAACGACAACTTGCTGCATGATCTTTGGATGAGTGATGAAGCCCACTTTCATCCAAGTGTGTATGTATAAAAACAAAATTTCCGCTATTGGTCCGAAAATAATTCGCGGCAATTACACGAAAGACCTCTATATTCAGAAAGGGTAACCCTGTGGTGTGCCTTCGTTAGGGATCATCGAGCCTTATTTTTTTCGCAAAAACGGCAATATTCCCTGGCCACCTTGTAGTCCGGGCCTCACGCTATGCCATAACTTTCTTTGGTATCTAAAGTCGAAAGGGTTTCAAAGTACCCCTTCCTCTTAAGAACTATCTTGGCTTTGAAAATGAATAAGCCAAAAGTGGAAACATTACCTTAAGAAATATTGCTCAATGTCGTAAACAGCTTTGTACCACGGCTGAAACAAAACAAAAACTGAATATTTCTTCACTTACACATTAATTTCCATCTGTATAATATAGGTTTTTTTATTAAATTAAATAAAAATATATTTTTTTAATTTTCATTCATTTTTTTAAAACCGTAGCGTTTCATTGAATCACCGTTTCAGTATGGTTTCTGTTAAAACTTTCCTGGAATAAATATTTCTATGTTTCCAAAATGGTTTTCCACCGTATTTCTAGAATTAATTTGGTATATTATCGGGTCTTAAAATATTCTATTTTTTTAAGTTAGCGTAAGCTATCACTGATTGCTTTTTTGTGATTTCTGTTATCATCATCGTCACTTTTTATTTCTTTTGCTTTTGCAGATCTGATACTGTTTTCATTGCTTTGTTTCTACTTGGCTTAAATTTTTATATTCATTAATGGGTAATTTTAGATTTTTCGAACTTTCTAACTTTCTTTTGCTCTACATGTAGATTGTGTTCTATTTTTAATGAATCGTTTTCAATAGTATCTTTTTATGCTCTTGTCTTAGAATTGATGTTGTTTCGGGTATCTTTGTATTGCTGGTAGGTGTCATGTTTTATTACTACCTCATTGTAGGTATGATTTTCTGGTTTCTTGTGCCAAACCTCCGATTTCAGTGTTAAATCGTGGCTTTGATATTGCTGGCTGAATATGGCTTAACTCATATGCTTTCTGTATTTCTATATTCTATATATATATTTCAGTCAAGTTATGGGAAGCAATGAACGATCTCGGAATCCGACAAACACTAATAAAAGCAGTTAAAGCACTGTACAAAGAAAACAAAGTAGCTATTAAATATGGAAATAAAGCCTACAATCCATTTAAGACAACAAAAGGACTTCTACAAGGCTGTGCTACGTCCCCTACGCTGTTTAAAATATTCTTGGAAAATACACTCAAACCATGGAGGAGAAAGTGCGAAGGAATGGGCATACCAGTAAGAGACGAATACCTATATACCTTAAGTTGTGCCGACGATCAAGTAGTCATCGCACAAGATGATCTCAGCTTTATGCTCAGAAAACTAGAAGAAGAATATAAAAAGAACGGAATGGAAATAAACTTAGAGAAAACCGAATACCTAACAACAGAAAACAAGGATATGAGAAACCTAGAGATAGACGAGGGAAGACAAGTAAATGGAACAGATAAATTCAAGTATTTAGGAACTAATATCGAACCAGGGAACAACAGAAGAAGATATAAACAACAGACTAAGACAAACAAGAAACTGTATAAGACAACTAAATTCAGTGCTGTGGGATAAGAACATTACGATAAAGACAAAAAAGAGAATATATAATACCCTGACAAGAAGTATCCTGACATATGGGTCCGAAAATTGGACAGTAAACAAGAGAAATAGAGGTAGAATAAGAGCAGTAGAAATGGAGTTCCTGAGGAGAAGCAGTAGACTTACAAAAAGAGACAGAATTAAAAACGCAGAGATTAAGCGGAGAATGGAAGTGCAATCAGACATAATCGACTATATAGAGGAGAAGAGACTATCCTGGTATGGCCACGTCAGAAGAGCGGACAGAGGACGCTGGATAAACAAAATCACAGAATGGAGCCCGATCGGAAGAAGAAAGAGAGGAAGACCCCAAAGGTCATTCAGAGACGAAATCGACGAGGCTATGGAGAAAAGAACCCTGCGAGATGGAGACTGGAATGACAGGGAAAATTGGAGAAAACGGTTGAGTGAAGAAAGACAGTGAAAACTGTGGAAATCCTTAGTAGTAGTAGTAGTAGTCATATGCTTTCTTTTTCAGCTTTTATTATGTTACATTGTACTTTTGCCTACATCTCGTATACACTATTTTACTGTTTACTCGCAAAAGCCATAGCAAATTTATTTTTTTATTAACTGATAAGTATTACTACATAATCTGTTTTAGGTGAACTTGACATTACCCAAGGCGACATGAGAGTACAAGGTCAAATCTCTTATGCTTCCCAGGAACCGTGGGTATTTGCAGCAACTGTTCGTCAAAACATTCTTTTCGGTGAAGAATATGACAAAAAGAGATACCAAGAAGTTATACAAGCTTGCTCTTTAGAGAAAGATTTTGAACAGTTTCCAAATGGCGATTTAACTCTAGTAGGTAAGAAAATATATAAAAAAGTAACATAAGTAGCTTAGAGTAAAGTGCCCTAATATCGGATACTTTGTTTTGAACCCTAATATTAGTTTTATAACGACAATTAATTTATGGATATTTTAGAGCAAAACAAGCAATAGACTATAGAGAATCATTTATTGAACGAAAGTAAATCATTTTTACGAGGTAAAAAATAAAATTTAAATTTTTATAAAAAACGGTAAATTAAGATTGACAAGAAAGATGTTCCTAGTACCGGATATTAGGATAACGTGATAAAATTAGCCATCGAGGCAGAAATTACAAATATTGTGTCTTTTTTGTCTACATTAGTGCAGTCGATGTAAGCCCACTTAAAACACTTTGAGCACTGAATCGATTGTTAGCCCGAAGTATCTTCAGAGAAGAGTCCAGTACAAAACATACGTTCTGCTTCCTCTTCCCCAATATCACACTCCATGTCAGAATCATCATCTAAAATGAATTCTTCTTTATTCAGTAGAATTTATCAAGTCAATGTTTCGCGTATGGGAGAAGTGACCATCCAATATAAATACAACTGGATCAGCTTCACTTGGTTTAACGTGGCTAATAAAATGTTGTAACCAATTGATGAAAATGTGACTCTGAATCCAATCAGACATATGGCAGACAGCTATTGTCCCTGGTGGAGCTTCGTTGAGTAATCCTGCCTTTATATTTTTTCGGGGAAATATGACCATAGGGGGCACAAAACCATCAGCCGCATTCATACAAGCAACCACAGTCACTAGTGATCCAGTTTCTGCAGAAGTAACGGCTCCTACTAGGGGCCGTTACTTCTAACGTGCTCTGGGGTACCTTTAAAGTTTTTGAAGCTCGCAAGTACCCCATTTCTTTGATTTTAACTGCAGTAACAGCTGCACGCACGGATTTACTATCCGATTTTCTATCCCAGAGTGCAAAAATTATAATGCATAACCCTTTCTTTTTGTCGACGAAAACATTAAAATGTAATTGTTAACACGACCTTAACTATGTAGAAATGATAGTAGATATTCTATATAAAAACAATTAAGAAAAATTGTGTCCTAATATCGGATATCTGATATTAAGACAGTGCGGCCATCTGATATTAGTTATTGTTAGTTTAATTACTGATTTGTCTTCGGTTTCCCAGTCTTAGTCCATCTTTCTCATCTCTCTTGTGGCAACCTGTCAATACAATCTCTCCAAGATTGCTTGTTCCAAAATTAATTTCTTGATAGCTTTTATATTTGTGTTTAAGTCGATCTGATTTTATATTCCTTCGTTATTAATGTTGGGTACATAATTTTGTTACACAATAAATAGAAACAACTTTTAATAAATTCAAAAATAATAAATTTATTTTAAATTGTGTTATGTAAATAATTATTCCATATGATACCATTAATTTCAGGTGATAGAGGATCATCTTTGAGTGGCGGTCAGAAGGCTAGGATTAATTTAGCAAGAGCCGTGTATAGAGAAGCAGATGTTTATCTCTTGGATGATCCGTTATCCGCTGTAGATATACATGTTTCCAAACATTTATACGAAAAGTGTATTAACGGTTATTTGGGAAGCAGAACGAGAATTTTAGTTACCCATCAAGTACACTATTTGAAGGATGCTGACAACATCATTATTTTAAATAATGTAAGTATTTTATCCTAAATATATATGGTTAAATGCTATTTGATAGCTTATACAATATCCCACAATCACGTAAGACGTCAGGGATCAATACTTTGTAAAAGAAAATTTTTAAAAAAATATCCGAATCTAAATAAAAATAACGTCTACAGTGGAGATTTTCCAAGAAGTTGATCTTTTAGTAACGGTTTTTAAATATCCTCTTGATGCAAAATATATATTTCTCCATTACGGTTTATAACTAGCTTGCCACTTTTGCTTTTGCACCATCCTTCGACTTGGAGATGGCTTATTTACAAGTCGGAACATACCATCCAAAACGTTTTCGTCTATATTTTCTTCGTCAGTTAGTTGATTGACTTTCTTCTTCGTTTTCTTTTTATGTAGACATGACTCTGTCTGTTTTTCAATGTGCCTTCAGTAAGTTGTCATTCTATCGTTGGGTGGTGTTTCTAGTGATCGTCTTCCTATTGGGAAACCGTCTCTTGCCGTCTTTACTACTCTATTTGATGTCATTTCTGTACTCCTAGCTTTGTCCCATAGTGTCTTACCATCAGTTTTTCAAAGTTTTCATCTTTGCTGTTTTTAACATCCTTTTGTCCTCTCTGTGTCAGGTCGTGATTCTGCCGCGTATGCCATTATTGGTCTGATGACTGTTTTGTAAATTCTGCCTTTCAATCTGCGGCTCTGTTTACTTTATTACACTATACACACACAGTTTCGAGTTTTTTGTAGCTAGATGAGGTGATGCCTAGATATTTAAACTCCATCACTTGTTCTATTATCTGACCTTCCAGCTCCAATGTATCATCTTAGTAAATTTGCTGTTGTAACCATGCATTCTCTCTTTTCTGGTAGTTATATTAAATTGTTGCAGCATACGTTGTAAATAATCTTCACTTTGATAGAGTACTATTGCGTCGTGTGCATAGCAGAATATTTCAAGTTGTTTTTCTGCCATTTGGTATTCCTTTAAAATTCCCACTTTTTTTATTATTTCATCCATAATCAGGTTAAACAATAGAGGACTTAGGGACTTTTAGTGTTTAATATATGAATTGCTCTGTAATTTTCCGGATCAGATTTGTCTCCATTCTTGGAAAGATGTATCAGGTTGCTTGATCTCCATTCTTGGAAAATTCTGTTTTGCTCTATTATTTTTTGGATTATAATGGTTTAATAACAGAGTCTGTTGCGTTCATAATAATAGTTTCATTTGCAATTTTGACCACTCATATTCTTAACTAAATTTTCAAAATAATACTTATTTTCTATTTGGTGAAAATATGAAAATATTAAAATTTTAGTATAGTAATTATAAATATATCAGATATACTATAATAAAACTTTTATCTTTGACAAGAATTATTTTATTTTAGGGACGCATCGAAGATGAAGGAACTTTCAACCTTTTGGCAAACAGTGACAATGTGTACGCAAAACTCTTAACTGCTGAACCAGAAAATAAGGAAGAGAAGAAACCAGACAGATCGAAATATTGTAGGCAACTATCACAAAGAGTAAGTTTATTGTATAATTTACAAAGGTTGTAGATTCTGATTTTGTCTCGTCTATTCTTTTGTAATAATTTAATGAGTTATTCTATTCATTCTTTCTGACAATGTTTTCCCCATTTAATTCTTTTTCGACTTCAGCTTTGATTTCATTATTTTATCCAAACTCCTGTTAAATTGAGCGTAGTATTGTTCTCATACTCTTTGTCTCGAATTTCAGAAATATATTTAATCTATTTCTGTAAGTGTTCAGTATGTGTATAACACATGTCTCCTTTCATTGTATAATTCTTTGGTCTACTCTATCTTTTCAGTTTTTTTATAATCAACCGTCAATGCTGTAAACAATTGTAAAAACAGCAATAATTTATTTGTATTATACCTTTCTTACTTTTGGCTTTTTATCTGCTATAAAAATAATACTTCATATTAATTTGTTTTTACAAGCATCTCAAAATCACGAACACGAAATTAAATAGATCATGTTCTCATTGACACAAGACACTCTAATAGCTGCAAGACTCCACAGATGAGAACAGAGCAGATTTTAACACAACAAGAGCACAAACAAGGCGACTATTCAGAACTAAAGAAAGAAAAATAAGAGGAGCTACCTAGAACAGCAAATCCGGGAATTGGACAGAAGTGGCGTGAGGAATCAAATAAGGAAATTCTTTAGTGAAGTCAGTCAGAAAATGAAAAGAACTTATAATGATAGAAACGGAAATTCTAGAACGACGAAAGGAATACTTTTGGAATTTACTAAATATTGAAAGCGTTACAACCGAGAGTTGTTAAAAAAGGAGGAAACCTTTTATACCACAAATTGTATGACATCATTCTGAGAGTATAGCAACAACAGAAAATGCCTAGAGAATGGAATGGAAGCGTTATAATTCCCATATATAAGAAAGGAAACAAAGAACAATTCCGAAACTATAGAGGTAATTGCTTATTAGCACATCAAATAAAGTGCTATCAATTATTTTGCTAAAAAGACTCACACCATATTCGGAAGATATTTTAGGTGACTACCAATAACGCTTTCGTGCTGGAAGGTCAACTATAGATTAGATATTTACCACCCGACAAATATTAGAGAAAAACTGGGAATTCAACCGCGATGTGCACCAAATTTTTATAGATTTCCAGTAAGCATATGTTTCCATAAAAATAAGCAAATTGTGGATAGCAATGTTAGAAATGGGAATACCAAGAAAATTAGTTAAATTAACGCAAATGTGCGTAATACAATCATATGAGCAAGTAAAGATAGGAAGCAGAACATCGATACAAATTGGTATAAATTTGGGACTTAGGCAGAGGGACCCATTGTCACCGTTGCTGTTCAATTTTGCTTTAGAATATGCAAGAAGTAAAATATCTTCTAAACTGATAGGAGGATTTGCTGATCAAGGATCAAAACTGTTGCTGGCCTTTGCTGATGATATAGATGCAGTCACGCATTCTACAAGAGACGTAAGAGAGGTGTTTTTACAGCTCGAGGTGGAAACAGGTAGTCTGAGTCTCAAAATAAATGAAAAAAAGACGAACATCGGCAGAACATCAGTATAAATGATCACAACTTTGAAGTAGTAAAGGAGTTTAAGTACCTGGGGGTGATAATCACAGCTAACAACCACATAGAAAAAGAAGTCTCAGCAAGGATATTTGCGGGACATAGAGCATTATACTCCCTTTCAACATTATTAAGATCAAAGCTGCTAAAAAGAAATCTAACATTGTATGATTATTCTCCCAATTATAACATATGGCAGTGAAAAATGGACTCTCAACCAGCAGGAAATCAATAAGCTCCTAGTATTTCAAAGAAAGGTTCTCAGAATAATATTTGGCCCTCAAAGAGATGAATTTACAGGGTATTGGAGGGAGAAGACGCCGCAATACCAAATTGGTGACTCTGTATGGAAGGAAGAATAATGTTGCATGTTTATCTGTTATCTCGAATAAACTTGAACTATGAACTATATGAACTACCATGAACAAATCCCCTTTCGTTGGCTCAGTGGAGTTGTTCGTTCAGTTGTAATGGAAACACCAAGTAATAGTAGCAGAGTTTATTGATGAGACGTACACTATGGGTGTTGACCCGGGATTACTTTGAGTAGAGACTGTTGCAGTTGATCGCTGAAGACTATCAAGTTTGTTGAGTGAATATTGATTGAATGCTTTGGAGTCTACGTTCCTCATATCCTCCGGTACGTTCTCCATTATTTTTTTTTTCGTTGCTCAACCATTTTCTAAGAATGAAACCTCCTTTTCTGAACAGTTATATTAATTCCTTTTGGGCTGTTTCTGCTTTCTGCACTGTCTCAGCTCCTCCTAGTATATCGTCTACATACATGTTTTCTTTTACAATTTTCGATGCCAACGGGAACCTCGCTCCTTCGTCTTCTTGTAATTGTTGTTGTAATTGTTCTGTTTATCTCGAATTGCGGTACAACAATAGGAAATAGAAGCGCAAGATCGTAGAGGATGGAGGGCGATAGTGAATGCAGCGAAGAATCACGCTGAGTTGTAAAGCCAATGAAGAAGAAGCATCTCAAAATATCACGCTCATCATTGGCGTTTTCCAAATTTATTTTTAAAAAACTTTTACAGTTTTTCTCTTAATTCTTATTTAACATTTTTTTAGAGTCGAAAGGATTCAATGTCAAGTATAATAAGTGAATTAAGTATAGCGGATACTCTTTTATCAAATGATAATGACTTTGAGGAAGGGGAAGCTGAAAAAGAACAAGAGTTTCAAATCAAAGACCTTCAGGAACAATCATCAAAAGGAAAAGTGGGTGGTTCTTTGATGTTTAAATACATGTTAGCAGGTTCTAATGTATTTGCTGTTCTACTATGCGTTATATTATTTCTAGGTAAGACAAACTATTATTTTTTTTTATTTTACTTTACTTTACTTAATTATAACTATTTGTTATAATTTTTTAATTTATAATTGTAGTTTCTTATCTTGTTGTTTAATATTAGCAGGATATATTTTATTATTATTATCACTGAATGAACTATTAATGATTACCTATTTTTAAACTTTTAACAGTCGTTCTATTTCTTTAAGGATTCTTAAGGATTTAATATACAGGGTGTTTCAATAAGATATGTCATAAATTAAATACCGCATTCCGGGGATAAAAATAAATTGATTAAATCCAACTTACCTTCGTATAAAAGTATACACAAAAAAAGTTACAGCCCTTTGTAGTTACAAAATAAAAATTGATTTTTTGCATTATCTTCTAAACTACTTGACACTTTGTAATAAAAATGGACACGTTACTTTCTTGTTCTGAAAGCATTTTTCACACAAAAGAAACAACAAAATCTAAGCGCACAGAAAAATTTTAAGGGTGTGTGCAGCCCTAGATCCTCCCAAACTTTTGAGTACATTTATTAAAATCAAATGAATTTTGTGTTCTATTCTCGTCGAAATTTACTCGTCACTTTCAACCCCGCTGTCAATCCAACTATCCAGATGTCTAAAATGTTCCATCCTTTCCAAGATTTTGTTATCTAATTTTAGTACTGAGTGTTTGATATTAATTTTTCTGACAATCATCCGTTTTGTTTTCTTTTCGTTGATTGTTAAGCTCTTTTCAGTACATTCGTCGGTTACAGCGTTCAACACGGTTTGAAGGTCCTGCAGACCAGTTTCGGCTCGTGGCTTGAGAGACACGTTTTTTGTCTCCTCAGATAGTTCAATCATCATAGGAGTTTTTTTGTTTTCTTGTTTTTTTTCCTATAAATTTAGAACCTAAACATGTTTAGAAATTAATTCTAGTCTACGTTGTTTGGAAGTAGCAGAATGGATAATAACGTCATCGTAAAATTTATTAGAGTTTTGGAGAGATTTTAAAAGTTTTTTTTCTATTGACATTTGAGACAAGCTGGACATTCTCTCTTGTTTTATAGTATTTCGACAATACGTTTTGATTCTTTTGAGGCAAGAGAAATCTCGTTCATTTGAGGCAGACGTTGGTGGTAGTGAGAGAATTAATGACAATAATTTATTAATTTCGGTAACAGTTTGTTGTAATGAATTGCAGTATATAAAATTATACATATCTTGTAACTTATCCCATCTTCCGAAATATTTGGATCAACATATAAAACTTTTAATTCATTTTTTAATTTTATTTTATTAAAGAATGATGGATAATTTTTAATTAACCTGTCTAATAAATAATATCTTGGAAGATCTTTGGCGTAACTTTTAAATTTTGAATCGTCAAAGAGGTCAAAAATTTGCAAATCTTCAAAATTCGAAAAACGAGTATCTATTTGCATAATAATAGTATCCAAAATTTCGAAATATACTCGTTTTTCGAGATCTGTTTCTGTGTCATGCCTTTGTCTTTTTTTTGGGGTTCGGAAATATCAAGCCAGTCCAAAACGTCACTGCGTATATACTGGAAATTACTATCATTACGAAAATCTCTGAGATTTTGCACCAGTCTTGTTATTCTATTTTTGGAATGGATAATGTCAGGTAACTGATTTTGAACAACATTGAATATCAAATCGGTTTGGGTAAACACTTTCTTGAAAATATTTAAAAGTATGTTAAAAGAGTAATCATTTAATAAAGTATCACGGATCGTCACATTCAATAATAAAATCAAAAACTTCCAAAGCTGTTCACGAAAATCTGCTACAGTGAAAACTAACCGAGATTTAAAATTCCATCGCGTCTGACAATGGCATTTTTTTTTGAAACAAACCGTTCTAAAACATTAGTCCGTTTAGGTGAGCTTGAGAAAAATGAAGCAAATCCGCTTAAACTGGCAAAAAAAAACATTCTTTAATTTTTTTACATGTATCCTGCAAAACTATATTCATTCTATGCACATGACAGTGAGTAAATAAAGCTTGCGATGCAATAGTTTTAACTTTTGCCTGGAGACCATTTAATTCACCAGACATCACGGCAGCGCCGTCATAAGTTTGCCCTATCAATTTATTTTTGATATCAAAAAATTTTAATCTGTTCTTTAAAACACCAAAGATATATTCTGCCTTATGGCTTTTACTCACATCTGTAAAACCTAAAAACCTCTCATAGGTATTACCACGTAACGCGTATCGAACAACAATTGATAATTGTGAATGACATGATATGTCGGTAACTTCATCTACTTCTAGTGAAAAGCAAATGGTTTCCTGAATCTCAGATCCAATACCGTTACTCAAAATACTAAACTAAACTAAACTAATACTAAACTAATTGATTCTATTAATTCATTCTGGATTGTTTTAGATACACCGCTAAATGTCTTCGAATCAGAAAGTAAATTAGAAAATGTCAAATCGTATTTCTTAAACATTTTTATTAGTTCTCTATAATTACCTTGATTTAACGAATGCTCCGATTCATCGTGTGCCCTAAAAGATAATTCCTGACAACTTAAAAAAATTACAATATCAATTAAACGACGTAAAACTGGGTGATTATTTTTTACAATTTCGTTATGTTTAATAGCATTTTCACGTTGGGCATTATCTAATGAAACATAGATATTTTGTTTTCCAAATAAATCTAATTTAATCTGGCTGTAAGTATGATCTTTCGAAATATCATGTTTATGTAAAGCCCTAAATAATTCCTTTAAATTATCGTAACCAGATTCACACCACGGATTTTGATGTTTGCCCCTATTTGTCGAAAATAAAACGCAAGGCCAACAGAAAAGTTTGTTTTTTATGTCACTCCCGGTAAGCCATGAGTACTTGCTGTACCAATTATTTGAAAATGATCTATTACTTTCCTTACCCGCACTAATATTTATAAGCCGGGACATTTTAGGCAAAGGACGCCCCTTATTTTTAATAACAATTTGTTTTTCGTATGGAGTAGATAAAAACCCATTATGCAAAATATAATTTACAATATCAGATTTATCAATACTTATAGTTTCTCCCATGGCTTGCATTTTTTAGGTTAATTTACCTGAATTTGTTTACACTTTAATTAAAAAAAAACTAATATGTCAAAAAACCCTTTAACCTTTAACTATTTACGACAGACGTAACGTATCACAGTATTACTTTAGAAAATAAAAATAAATCACAAAAAAAAGGCTAGTTCGTGCACTGAATATTACTTCAACTTACTGCTTACGTTCGTATATGAAATAACATTTCATCCCGCGCTCGCAATGAACAGTTCGCGACCAATCACCAATCCAAATCAAACATCGGAAAATTTAAATTTGTCGTTCTTGGTAATTAAGTACATATGGAAAGAAATGTATATTTGGTTGCTAATAAACTAATATTCCGTTGACTTTTACAAGTAAATCGTTATGGTTGGAATCGGCTTGCCGAAAAAACAAAACGTGCCTTTTTAAGAATTCACAGGCGGATGGATGTCTTCGATATCGGATCATCAATTTGATAACTGTCTACGCAGGGATCACTTAACGCTCAGATTGGACGAATTCTTTTAAAAACCATGAATAAAATTTAGTCTTTATTATCTCACAGATATTTTTTTATTTCACAAAAACAAATAACATTAACTGATTACCTGCCACAATTATTTATTGAAATACTGATTAAATTAAATATTATAAAAATCTATAATATCTATAAAGGTGTGGGTCGGCAGGGGTGCCGACCCTCCCGACCCCGACCGACCGCCACTCCTGCAGACTCTCTGCCTTTATGGCGATGTCATCTCCGTATTTGATGTTAATTTTAGCACCAATGTAAACACCAATGCAACGATTATTTTACGCTATCTCAAAAACTGGTGCAGTGTAAGCATTAAACACATCTGTGATATAACACCATTTTTCAGTTATGAATTTATCAACTTTATTGAATTTAAAACTAATGTGTTGTAATTATGACTTAAACAATTTACAGGTACTCAGATAGCTGCTAGTGGGACGGATTACTGGGTCAGCTATTGGGTCAATGTAGAGGAATTCAGGAACTCGACTGAATCTTTTAATATTACTGCGCCTAGGTTTATTATTCCCTCCATCGAATTGACAACAGATAATTGCCTTTACATATATTCAGTTATCTTAGGAGCTCTTTTTGTCCTTGCTATGACAAGATCTTTCTTCTTTTATAAAATGGCCATGTTGAGCTCTCAAAAACTTCATGGCACAATGTTCGATAATGTTATTGATGCTACAATGAGATTCTTCGACACAAATCCTGGAGGAAGAATTCTTAATAGATTTTCTAAGGATTTGGGGGCTGTCGATGAATTATTGCCGAAAGCAATAATGGACTCTTCACAGGTAAGACTTGTATAATATACTATTTATTTGTATTGTCGAAATCTATCGTATTATAAATCCTAATAATATAGTTGGTTTATTAATTTTTTATTTTGATATATATATATATATATATATATATATATATATATATATATATATTCAACCTAGAGATAAGATTAATGCTATTACACATATTATTTATATTATATATATATATATATATATATATATATATATATATATATATATATATATTAGAAATAAGACATAATTTTTAAGAAAAATTAATATTTAATTACGATTTTGCATGCTTTTCAACCTATATTACATTAAACAAAAATAGAAATTTAAATAAAATAATATTAATGCTAAAAAAATTAGGAATTTCAAAGTTACAAACTCTTTTGCACGGAGAAAATTGTTAATCACTTCACATTTAGTATTAGAATTTTAAAGTTACAACACTTTTGCATGGAAAAAATTGTAAAAAGTGTAGACACATTTTCTGTTAGTTGTTGTCCTCTTCTCGTATATCATCTTGTGCCAAAATATTTTATAAAAACTATGGTGGACTTCTGGTATCATACCCGAATGGCATAAGTATACCAAATCTTTCTTTTTAGCCATTTGAATTTTTGGCTGTTTTTTGTAGGCAGGTATTTGGTATATACGTTTAATAAATTCTAATAAATCATCGGGTAAGTAACGAAAAAACAATCCCCAACAGCAATCGGAGTTTAGTATGATATTAAACTTTACATTTAATATATTCCAAGAAATCTTTCTATCTCTTCACATGTTTCTGATAGCCACAATTCCTTCGCTTTGTAATGACAATGTCATAACAACGTAGAAAAATTATTTGTAAAACTTTCAATATTTTTATTTAAATTTAAAACAAAAGGACTATAATAAAAATATGCAAATCAGGCTACCTTGAGTACAGAGATTAACAAAAGGATTGAAATTCACTACCTTAGTAAAAGTTGTGGAGAAGGATAGGAAGAGAGCAGAGAAATAATCTTCAGTAACTGTGACTCTAAAAGAGTTACAAGAACGAATAAAAAAATTAAAAAACAAAAAAGCACCTGGTCCTGATAAGTTAAACAATGAACTGCTAAAAGATGGGGGAACAACACTACGCAAATGGCTCCTAAAATTATTCGTCGATATAATAAATACCGGAGTAGTACCAGCGGAATGGAAGTCTCCTACTACCGATACTTAAAAAGGGAGACTCGAAAAATCCTGAAAATTATAGAGGTATTAGTCTGATGAATAGTACATTAAAATTTTTAACGGCAGTCATAAAAGATAAAATCGAGGAAAAAGCGAACATGGCAGATGAACAACAAGCCTTCAGGAAGAACCGCAGCACAATAGACGCAATTTTAATTAAGGTATCATCTTGTAAGCACAAATAAAATTTTTTGTCCATAGTTTATTAATATACGTCTTAATAAAGAAAATAGGGAGCGAATTACTGAGATCCATTCAGTCAAATTATTTTAAACTGCCCCAGAAATTAGCTCATTTTTTGAAATAATTTATAAACAAATTAAATTTTACCAAAATTATTTAACTTATCTGGCATATACTTTCCACATAATTCAATTACGATAAGACTCTCAAGTTCGAGTACATGTAAAGAAATTAAAAAAAAAATAATATAAAAGTTATTAACAATATTAAAAAAAAACGATTTTGTTGTTGATGTTGCCATAACTTTTTTGTTTATTAACTCATTTAATTTAGCATATCTCAAATCTTTTTTTCTGAAAAAGTCTGTTGACCTTTTGATTGTTTATTTAACAATAGTTGCTCTAAAAAAAATGATGAATTCCTAGATGAGAGTCTTTTTGTAGTATCACATACTACACAGTTCAACTGTCAAAACCGTCTATATACAGTAGAACTCCAATTATTTGGATTAATTGGAACTAGACCCGATCCGGATAATCAAAAATCCGGATAATTGGGTTTTTCTCGAAAAAGGCCTTTTACGGGAAAGAAACTTAATTACAGCAAAACACAATGGAGAACATATACGGTATTTATTATGAAAAACAATACAGTATACACAACAATATGTAGATAACAAAGTTTACATTACGTAATATTGACACACAATACTTACTGAATCACAGTAAAATCAATTATTTTTTTAACATATCAGGCAGAGTTTTGCTGACCTGAATCGTTTCCGTGTCGCCAAGTCTCGCATTATTTTGACGGTGAGGAGTTGCAGGTGGTCCACTCTGGTTGCCGCTCATCCATTTAAGCGCGGTATCTAGACCTACAAATGCCTCACTCGCTGTCGGCCCCTCGTCTAGCTCGGTAGCGAAGTTCTCGTTTTCCGGTTCCGGGTTATCCCTTCCTGCTTACAACACTTTGGATGAATTCATTATCATCGAGAATCTGGAATCCGGGATCCGTAGAATCACTTAACAACCACTCCTCTACATCCTCTGCACTGCACTCGGAACATCCGGGAATATTGAAGATGATATCTTTAATTTATTCAACCGTTACTTTGTCATTTCCCTCCTCTCTTTCTTCCTCTTCTTTTTGGCGCTGCTTCTCTTCCTTCTCTTTCTGTAGCGTCTCCTTTGTTGAAATTCCTTTCAATTTATTCCAAGCCCTTCTCAATGTTGTCGCCGTAACCATACTCCACGCTTCCGCCACCATATACGAGCAATCTTTTAAATTGATTTTTTTGTGATGAGCGACAATGCCCTCTTCATTTTCATTTTCTATCAACAGTTTCCTAATCAATTGCCTCCTGTAATGTCGCTTCATTGTTTCAATAACCGACGGATCCATCGGCTGCAAGAAACTCGTTACGTTTGGTGGCAAAAACATTGCTCGAAATCTTCCATCTTCTCTTTCTAGCAGGTTTTCATTGGGTGGGTGGGTGCATTATCAAGAAGTAATAGCACCTTGCTGCCTTCTTTTCCCAATGTCTTTTGATGTTTTTTGACTTCAGGTATGAACACTTCATCAAACCACTCAGTAAATAAAGTAGCAGTCATCCAAGCCATTTTTTGGTTTTTATAGACCACGGGAAGTTTTTTTTACATTCTATGATTTCCGGTTGCGTTAGCACAATTAAGTGTAGTCACGCGCTCATTGTTTACTTTGTGACTAGGAGCCCCTGATTCTCTTTTGGAAGCCAATGTAGTTTTTGACAAGGCTTTCCAATTTAGGCCCGTTTTATTAGCATTGTATACAAACTCAAGGTCATAATAATTTGATTCAACTTTAAAAGTTTCAATAAAGTTTTCAGCAGCTTTAGGGTCAGCTGAAAGCTTCTCTCCACTTAAGTCCAACTGCCGAATTCCGTGTCCGGCTTTAAAATTTCGTAGCTTTAACTACTCGCTTTAAATGAACTCACAGTGTCCATTTTCTCGGTAAAATTTCACAAATAATAGGGCCTGAAAGAGTTATTTTCAGCTGTTTTCATATTTTTTTTCGATGAACTTCCTTCTTCATTCATTCTCGAGGACGGATACAAAGTTTACAATAGAGAATTAATTTTTTTTAAGTCAGATATTGTTGACGTTCCCACCTTGTACACCTCGGATAATGTTTACCCGACACACCTTTGTCCAATTGTTCGATCATTTTAATTTTATCGGCCAACGATAATACCACACGTTTCCTCTTAGAACTCATTGTAGGTCACTAAATTCAAAAATCAAAACACTAAGGAACATGGACAAGTCAACACATCAATTCACTCTACTGCAGGTTGAAGAAGCACTGAACGACTGACTATATTATAGTGACTATGTTAGGAGTAGCAGGTGCCGCGAGCCGCGAGGGGGGTCATCGCTCCCCCCCCTCTCTCTCTCTCTCTCATATATATATATATATATATATATATAATATATATATATATATATATATATATGTTATTGTGATATTTAAAGTCTTGGTGCGCCAAGCAATTAATTAACTAATTAATTAATTAATTAATTAAAATTATTTAAATGATATGATTATGACTCTATCACACTTTTTAATTCTCTTATCTCAGGGTTAAATTCGTGCTTCAATATCTATGCTATTACATGTGAAAGGTAAGGTCCAAAGAATACCGGAATAATAAAAAACACATATGATATAACACTATATATTGAAATAAAAATAATGAAATAATTCACACTCAAATGTTTTCAATCAACAAAATCTCATATAATGATTCTCAAAATTTTGTTCTACGTACGTGAACTTAATTAATGGTACAAACAATATTAGTTGAAATCTCAAAATCCAAATATTATTCTAAATCTCCTAATCAAAATATTTATATCCTTTCTAAATTAAGTATAAAAATTGTGTTATCAATGAAAGAAAAACTGCAGAAAACAAAACTATCTCTCTCTGATGATGAGTGGTCCAAATCCTTGTTATTTGTAGACTATACTATTTACTCGTGGCCGCTCCCTAGGTAATCAGCAATCTTACAACAAATTATTGCAAGTATATCGTCTTTAATGATCTCCTTCAAATGCACGAATCGTTCAAATTATGCTAGCTTCTTCTTCTCTCAATAAACTGAATCTCTCGTTGGCCTGAGTGAAAAATGACTCTTGGAATATCTTTTCTTTACGATAAACTGAATCTCTCGTTGGCCTGATCAGTGACTCTTGGAATATAAGTAGAAAAATATGACTTACAATATTTTACTGGATCAGCTTCTGTCAGATACACTAACGACACGAAAACTCACAAACTTTCACTGCTACTGCTTCCTACCTCTAGGAAACTACCCGAGAACAACGGCCGTTTGCCTTGCACCCTTGGAAACCAACTGATTATCTTTTCTCTCTCCTTAATCTAGCTAAACTTTCATTCCTACATACCTATCCCACCTTTTTCAATCTCCGCCAATCAAAGCTCGTCACGATTCCCCCATTTTTTCATTTCGATAACAAACAACTTTTTACCTATAATTATAAAATTTCCTAAAACCTATTTACAAATAATATTTTTCTACAATTCTTAAAAACTAACAAAAACCTCTTTCTAAAATCTTCTATTGTCTTTAATCACTGCATTAATGTATTTGGAAAACCCGGTTCAATTGTCTTTGGATTTCACTTAAAATTATGCGGGTCACTCAAGTATAACAAAGAAATAATTTATGCATAGCTTACATTTTGTTTAATACAGGTAATCCAAAATTTAAAAACTTTCCTTCTTCGAAATGTTTGTTGGTTATTATCCTACTTATCTGAATTATTTTAATGTTTTTGAACTTTGAAATATTTTAATCAAACCAATATTTTTCTCGATTTTACATATCATAACAATATATATATATATATATATATATATATATATATATATATATATATATATATATATATAGATATATATATATATATATATATATATATATATATATATCTATATATATATATATATATATAAATATATATATATATATATATATATATATATATACAGGGTGGTCCGTAAGTAATTGTACAAAAAGAAACCGTAGATTCTACACTTTAAAATATTACGATTTAAGTCAAGTTGCTTTAATAAAATGTTGATATTAAGAAAGATACAGGGTGTTAAAGTGGAAATTTAAAATTTTATTTTTCGCTATAACTTTTACGTTTGTCAACATTTATGTATAAAAATTTACAACTGGGTACTATTAAATATCAGAAATTATAATTTGATGCAAACTTTGATGTAGCTGATAGAGGGCGCCACATATGCCATATATGTGGCATGTATTTGCACATAACTTTTTTGATCTTTAAGCTACCGGTATTTTTAATAAAAAATATTAAAGATACGTTATTTCAACAAAAAAAAGGTATACTTGTTAATATCTTCAAAACTCAACAGTTTTCGAGATAATTTTATTTTAGGAATCAACTACATAATTCTGATTTATCGCAATTACTCCAGTCAACGAAAGAAAATTAAAGAAAAACATCAATACTTCTGAATTTTGGTATAAAATACCTTTAACGAAGTTAATATTTAATGAATTATTAAATAAAATAAATATATCAGTAGAATAAAATAATATGATTTGATAAATAACAGAATAATTGGATTTTCCATCAAACATTTTACGTTTTGTATTAAATTAAAGTCATAATCAAAACATTTTATTTATAAACCAAATTAAGAAATAGTTAAAGTAAATAAAATTAAACTTTTTGTCAAAGTAAATGTTCAGTATGTCCACCATTTTCTTTAATTCATTTGTCAATACATTCGATAATATATCGTCTCATATTAAATAGAGTCATTGGTTCTAAAGAAATTTGCTGCAGTATTGATTATAAGTGTTATAAGTATAATAATAAGTAATTTTTTGAAATGTTTATGAATTAAATAATTATATTAATATCTCACCGCAAAAATATGACTACTACAAACAATCTAATGTTCAGGAAAGTTGTATTTAAATACTGTCTCACTCCGCTTTCACTGTAATGTAATGGTTTACCATCTTGTAGAAACCACATATTTTGCCTTAAATTTGATGACAATTCTTCTAATATATTAATAAAACCATTTTATAAAAAATGTAAATAAATCTCGTGATTCAAATTGCAAGGTAATTCGCATATCCGTAAAAAATAATTATCAATGGTTCCAAACCATAGGACATGCATTTTACATATGAATTTTGAATGATGTTTTACGGATATGCGAATTACCTTGCAATTTGAATAACGAGATTTATTTACATTTTTTATAAAATGGTTTTATTGATATATTGGAAGAATTGTCATCAAACGTAAGGCGAAATATGTGGTTTCTACAAGATGGTAAACCATTACATTACAGAGAAAGCGGAGTGAGACAGTATTTAAATACACTTTCCTGAACGTTGGATTGTTCGTTGTAGTCATATTCTTGTGGTGAGATAATAATATAATTATTTAATTCATAAAAATTTCAAAAAATTACTTATTATCATACTTAAAACAACTATAATAAATACTGCAGCAGTTTGTTTAGAACCAATGATGCTATTTAATATGAGACGATATTTTATGGAATGTATTGACAAATGAATTAAAGAAAATGGTGGACATATCGAACACTTACTTTGACAAAAAGTTTAATGTTATTTAGTTTAACTATTTCTTAATTTGGTTTGTAAATAAAATGTTTTGATTATGACTTCAATTTAATACAAAACGTAAAATGTTTGATGTAAAATCCAATTATTCTGTTATATTATCAGATCCTACTATTAATTATCCTACTGATATATTTATTTTATTTAATATTTCGTTAATTATTGACTTTATTAAAGGTATTTTATAACAAAATTCGGAAGTATTGATGTTTTTATCTATTTTTCTTTCATTGCCTGGAGTAATTGCGTTAATTCAGAATTATGCAGTTGATTTGTAAAATGCGATTATCTCGAAAACTGTTGAGTTTTGAAGTTATTAACAAGTATACCTTTTCTTTGTTAAAATAACGTATCTTTAATATTTTTCATAAAAAATACCGGTAACTTAAAGAACAAAAAAGTTAAGTGCAAATGTATGCGACGTATGTGGCATATGTGGCGCCCTCTATTAGCTATATCAAAGTGTTCATCAAATTATAATTTCTAATATTAAATAGTACCCAGCTGTAAATTTTTATATATAAATGTTTACAAACATGAAAGTTATAGCGAAAAATGAAATTTTAAATTTCTACTTTACCACCCTGTATCTTTTTTAATATCAACATTTTATTAAAGTAAGTTGGCTTAAATCGTAATATTTTAAAGTATAGAATCTGCGGTTTCTTTTTGTACAATTACTTAAGGACCACCCTGTATATATATAGATATATATATATAATATATATATATATATATATATATATATATAATATATATATATATATATATATAAAATTTGCTTTTTCCTTAGTTCTCGATTAACTATAATATTTCTCATTGGATTTAATAAAATGTAAATTATTTTTCATTTATTTCTCAATAAAAGAGGAGAGAGAGAACAGGCGAGGAGTAGGCAGACCGCAGAAGAGGTGGACAGACGATATCAAACAAGTCGCGGGCAAGCAGTGGATGAGAATTGCCAAAAGTAGAAATCGATTGAAGCAAATGGAAGACGCCTATGTCCAGCAGTGGACGAACACAGGCTGAAGAAGAAGAAGAAGAAGAAGAAATTATTTTTATTGAATAATTATAACAACGACTCACATCCGAGTCGCTTAACACAAATAAAGAAAATATAAGGAATATGCTCACGACTCGGATCTGAGTCTTTTATTCTTTTCGCATAAGACATTACAAATTTATTACTCTTTATTCATTCGACCCATTTTCTACTTACACAAAAAAAACATAAGAGCATAAATTATAAACACAAAACTAAATTTATAATATTTCACAACGGTCAAAAATCACACATAAAAGTATTCACACCACAGAATATTATTTATATCGTTGATTGAATAACGCAAATTGCATTTGCGTTATTCAATCAACGGTTATATGCAAATATCCAAACAGAATCAACAGCCAAACATCCGACACGGTGTCTCAATTACGATTGCGCGAAGCCGTGGATTTAATAAGACCACAGAATACTAATCAGTGTTCTGTGATAAGACACACTCGGTCTGTAGATCCTTGTGTTGTTCACAGTTAAAAGGTCAACTACTGCGTACAGTTTCTGTATTCGCTGTGAGCCGATGAGTAGAGGGGATTTGACAGTTTTCACCAACGCTATTAGTGGCAGTTTTGTGCATTTAACTTGTAAACATTCAAATAATGGCGAATATGGATTTTTCAAAAAGAAAAATATATGATACATGTAAAAATACTGGGTACAACAGTCATTGTAAACTTTATTCATTTCCTGTTGCCAAGCATAAAATAGTTCAAAGAGAAAAATGGATTATTGCTATCAATGAGAAAAATAAGTAAATAACCTATAATGCAAACATGATATTTGTATGGTGTAAAATTAAAAAGCTATTATATTCCGAAACATTGCGTACATGCCCTGCATCAACTAAACCTTTTCCCTTTTTTGGTGTAGCTGGTTGAAATGGGATATCATGTGATATAGACTTAAAACCAGTATAATGTTTAATATCCATTTTGATAAAATTAAAACAAATTTAAGAGGTGGAGGCCATAAAACCAAAGAAGAAGAAGAAGAATTAAAACAAATTGATATCTAAGCACTAAGGCCTACGCACACAAAAAATAACTGTGCAAAAACAGAATAAAAATGTAAAATAAAAACAAGAATTACAACGTTAAAAGGTAACCTTTAACTAAAGAATATAGACGTTTTAAGCGTCTATAACCTTAAATATTTGCTTTAACCATTAAATATTTTCATAAAAACTTCTCCTTTTTCTCAATGACCTCTTGCGTAAGTAGTCATCCAGTCGCAAGAACTTATATCTTAAATATTATAATTACAATGAATAAAATAACAAGGCGTAATTATTTTTACTATTAATTCTGTGTATTCGTTCATTAATCAGTTTACCATAATATTTCAGTTCTTTATTTTGTATTTTTAAATAAATATCTATTTTTCTCGTTTTGTCATATTTCATTTACACTGATTTTACAAGAAAAGTACAAGTTTCAAACCGCGAGAGAGCGCTACCGGCGAAACTCACAGCGAATACATATTTATTTCTTTCAGAACGTGGCGCCTATACAAACTTGATTTTTTCTTTTTCTCAATCTGATCCGGGCAAATGGCAATCCGGATAATTGGAGTTCTACTGTAGTTGTGACAAAAAATTCTTATTTTTACAAACTTGATTGGTCTGTAAATATATTTTGTAAAATAAATATGAAATGTCGAATATTTAAAAAGCTTTTCTAAAGAAGATTTAATACTTTTTTTTATTTCAGATTCTACTGTCTATGTTTGGATCTCTCACGCTGATTATTGTAGTTAATCCTTACTTCTTAATTTTAGTTGCAATTTTAACTATAGTGTTTGGCATAATGAGACATATATATCTGAAATCTTCTAAGAATATTAAAAGATTAGAAGGAATAAGTAAGTATAAGTTTTTTATTTAATTTTTTTTATTTGTTACTATGTTATCCATCACCATTGGCTTTATATACCAGATTGGTCCTTCTTCTAAATGTGCCTATCTTCTAGAGATATTGGCGACCACATTAATCCATATTATTTTATGTACATCAGCTCGAAATAGATATGTTGACGTTAGAGCAGTCCACTTCCTAAGATTGGCCAGCCAGGATGTATGTCTATGTTCAGGGCCTCTTTTACTCACAATCTTGCCTTGTAGAATCAACTGTAGAAGTCGGTATTTATTACGTATAATGTGGCCAAAGTAAGCCAATTTTCTGTTCTTCACGGTGTTAATAATTTCTTTGTCTTTTCTTAGCCTCTGGATAATAGTTATGTTACTTGTTTGGTGTATATATGAGACCCTCAACATACGTTGGTTGCACCACCTTTCAAATGCCTTTAATCGGTTTGTTCTTAGATTGGTCCTTGGCCTATTTAATTAATCTTTCTATACTTAAATCGTATTTTTGGTTGCCCTTGAGATACTTTCCTACCATGTGTTGTTGGGTTACGATTATTGCTGGATCAAAGGCTTCCATGACCCATACATGTCAGTCTTCCAAACTTAATTTCTTTATCATAATATTAAGTTTTTTGTGAGCTTGATAAATTATTAATTGTACCGTCTCTTCCAAAATACTATTGATTGAATCCAACTTACATTAGTACAAAAGTGTACACAAAAAAAGTTACAGCCCTTTGAAGTTACAAAATAATTTTTTTTTTACATTATCTCCTAAACTACGTGACATTTTGTAATAAAAATGGACACGTTACTTTCTTGTTCTAAAAGCATTTTTTATAAAAAAGAAACAACAAAATCTAAGTACCGTTGTATGTAATTAATATTTTGTGTTCTTGTTTTAATTTGTTATTATATGCTAATAATTAAAACACAATGAAATTAATTAAATCAAAGTTATAATCCGGCTCGAAGGACCAAATGTTTAGCGATTAACCTTGAGAGATCGCTGGTTAAATTGTATTGGATAAATAATTTTAACGAAAAAATGCAATATTAGATTGTATATCTGGACCTCAGAGCCAAACGGTATTAAGTCCTGTATTTTAAATTTTACAGGAGAGCAATTTGAAGATTTTGAAAAATGGTATTTTTCGAACGAATTCCTATTGTAAATAGGAGTACACGGATTATTATTTTCCCATTTATGTTTTTTAAAGTTAAACAAAGCTGATAATAACTAACCTCTTACTTTAATTTATTAAAATAATTTTAAATTAATATTGGGACTTAATACTCTTTGGTTCTAATAATGGACTTAATATCTTGTGACTTAATACCATATTTTGTTACTTAATACTGTTTGGCTCGTACTAATCTGTAGATACGATGGACTAGATACTATTATTAATTAAGAAACTTACAGTAGAACAATGCAAAGTACAAACAGCATTATATCAATTCCAATTAAATAATAAAACGCAAAAAGACACCAAAAATATTTATTTTTTAAAATAAATGAAATCAGACCTAAATGTTACAAAGGAATAATTATAACTAACTTAAAACAGAAAATTCATAACAAATATCATTGTAATTTTTAGTCGTCCTCCTTGAGGTTACCATGTGGAAGATTTTTAAAGTATTCATGGAATCTTTTAGGCACCCATTGTAATAAGTTCTGCAAGTCATTATATTTTTTAGTCGAAATGGGCTTAAGTGTGTCTCTTATTGGTTTCAAAATTAAATTGGCATGGAGAACAACTTCCTTAGAATTATCATTACATTTTCCTTTGCGTGGTAGTCTTTTGGCTGCTCTATTGAAATCAACTTGTTCAAAATTCTCTTGATTAAAATTTGTTTTAAAATGTAAAACTCCAGGTGTTTCTGCTAAAAACTTCATATGAACAACTTTAGATATTAAAAAGTTTTGATTAGTTATCGTTTTTTTTGTTATTTTGAAAATAAGATCTGGATTCTTCAGATAACTGAGTAAAGTTCTTAAAGTCCATGGTTTCCATTTCCGCTACCTCCAATTTATTGTCACAAAGTCTGAAAAGCTGTTGCCAATCCCACGGAGTTATTAACGAAAATTGACTGGAAGCCTTCTTCTGTCTTTCTATTCGTGCATGAATTGTATCCACCTCCATGTGAGTATGTCCTCTTAAAAGGTACTTATGCTCAATGCATTTTATGGACGGTTTCAGCTTAAGAATCGAAAGATAGCACATAATCATCTGAATATTTCTATTTTGTGATGGACAGTTGTCACTCCAGATAACAATCCTTTCTACTGATTCTTTTACATTTAAATTAATGTATTTCAGAAGGCATGAAGCCATTTCATTTCCACCACGTCCGGCTATAGATTCATCCCAGGTGAAACAATATCCTAATTTCTCTATTGCATCATATACAGTATAATTGAAAGTCCATAGCTTTAGAGAATAGAAGCTCTGAGCATTCGTTAGTAGAGGAGTGGGTAAACATTTTTGTAAATCCACCGAAAGTATTTTGGTGTTCGCTTCGGTTTTAAAAGTCTCTTTATCCTGTCGCTTTAGTTTGTACCGATGATCTGCATCAAAAAGATGAGAGTCATAGTTAGTTTGTAATTCAAGGCGTTCTTCCAAGGATACAGAATCTTTGAGTTTGATAACATACCCATCACATGTGTCACATGTATCATTTTCTGGCTCTTTGAAGGCTAAATTAAATTCAGAATTGAAAATTTCATTATATAACCACTGCTTGGGAATATGTTCTTTAGGAATTTGACGTTCTACACAATCCTCATAGAAGCACCGATACATTATAGAAATATTGAGATGGCTCCCTAAATACTTCCTCTGGGATTTATTCCTGGAGTAATGTGACTCTATACACGGGAACTTCTGTATGTGCTCCCTGATAATGTTTCTTATGTTCGCGGATATTTTATTAGAGGGTTCATGTTTACCCCTTTGATCAGGTATTACAATTCCCCCAAGTTGTCTTTTCGTTAATGCGTTACGTACAGTAGTTTGTGAAATATTTAAGGTGTTCAGAAAATAAGTACGACACACACTTAGCCTCTTACCATTTACACTAAAAAAATACTTCAACGACGTTATTCTTTTTCCAGCACGAGATCCCGTTCTAGCACGTACACGCTCAACTGGAACTTCTTCGATACAACTAGCTATAAATTGTCTTTTTTGGTCAAGTTCGATGGTACCATTCCAAAATTGTGAGTGAATTAGAGCACGACTCTCAACTGATATATTCTGTTTGCACTGCTTTCTACATTCATCACGACAAGGTGGTCTCATTTTATTTTTTCCAATAAGCTTATTGGTGGCTGACAGATATTCTTCACCAGCAGCTTTCTTCTGCTTTCTAATGTTTTTCTTCCAATTGGTAGTATTTCTTTTTCTTTTCTTTCCTTTAGTGTCTCGTATTTCTACTTCTTCCTCTTGTTCTTCTAGTTCATTTGTATCACTGCTTTCATTAGGTAGATAAGATGGATCTTCAGCTTCAGTATAGACTTCTTTATGTAACACACTTGCACCTACTTCAGCTGCTCTATAGTAAGGTCTATCGTCATCATGTTGAACAATAATTTTTGAAGATGTTTCGAATTCGTTATTTTTATGCTTTTCACTGTTTTGAACAAAATGTTCTAGTGAATTTTCTGGTAGTTCACACCCGTCTATATTTTCTCTCAGAATTTCTTCGCTATTGGAAGAAGGCACATTATTTTTACTAAAAAATATGGTATTGTACACATCATTATTCAAAGCAATAATATCCCCTGTAGCATTGTCACATCCAGTTGCAAGAACTTTCAAATTTTCATGAGGGATGTCCTTCACACTATTAGTGGTTGGATATATTTCCATAACGATCTCAGCTTCTTCGGCGTTAGCAGCAACAGCAACAAAAGCTAAAATTGAAAAAATAATAAAATTTGTTGTGATACACACATTTCATGTAATTTAATTACCGTTCTTCTCGGGCAAATGTGAGGTTATAACAGGTTTTTCAGATATTTCGTTGCACTGGGCTTGTGCTAGTGTAATTTGTAATATTTTTTGGCCTCTCGATGTCATCATATTGTCCATGTACACTTATTAAATATTAAAACAGCGCCTTTATCACGTTTTTTCTGTTAACTGAACAAACAAAATAATGTGACTTAATATTCTGACAACTGATGTACACTAAAACAACACAGTATTAAGTCCAGTTAACTAACCTCACATCTGGACTTAATACCTACATATTGGATATCATTTAGGGCCAAACAGTATCGAAAACCTTTAATACTGTTTGGTTCTATTTAATAGAGGACTTAACATATGTAATCTACACCTATCTCGAAAACGAAAAGAAATTGGACTTAATACGCATTGCCATTGGAATGGGGCGGAAAACATACTACAGGAACAATAATAACCTAAAAATAGGAAAAAAGTGGACTTAATACTGTTTGGCTCTGAGGTCCAGATATAGGATTGGCGAGAATAGCGAATATTTGTAGCAAATATATGTAAAATCAAATGAATTAAAATAACAATTGGCAGATTTTATATCTTATTGTCAATTCTATATGATATTCACTTACCTTTTGTCTATGGTTGGGCCCGGCTGGGTTAGGAATGAGATACACTGCGGTGGTGATCTGCTTGGCGCTTGCTTTCGTACACGACGAGAGTTTTTGAAGAAATGGTCGATCATATGCAAAGGGAGCACGTATATATTACCCCAAATCGACTAGAGGGTTCTGTTTTTAGAGACCTCCGTGAATAGCCGTAAATTAAATTTAAACTGACATTCTTTACTTGCTACACAAAGGCGGATACGTTTTCTTAAGGAATCTGAAGTGTTTTGGGTTGATATATGTTTCCCAAAAACATGTTGAAAATCATAATATAATATATTATGATTAAATAAGATTTAAAACTAAATAAGGTCATATTCGTAATAATAAAAATAAAATATTTAAATCACTTGACACTTTTCCAAACAGTTAATACAATATTTTCTTGTATGCAGTGAATTGGCACCTATATTAGATAACAATAGAATTGATTTACATTGTGTTTGTTTTAGTGAGAAGCCCAGTTTTTTCACATTTAAAAGCTACAATTGAAGGTCTGACAACTATAAGAGCTTTTGGAGCGCAAAACCAGCTTATGGACGAATTTGATCATCATCAAGATTATCATTCAAGTGCATGGTATATGTTTATAGTGGCCAGTACTGCATTTGGATTTTACTTGGACTGCTTCTGTACAATATTTTTGGCAGTACTAACTTTTTGTTTATTGTTATTCGGAGAAAGTAAGTATTTATTTTCTTTTTATATCATTATGATATATATTCGACTTGATTTTACATGATGGACCAAATTTTATCATTTAGAAGGAATTTGAGTTCATTGATTAGACGAATTTTTATAAAATAATTTTCTGGATTATTATCTATGCTTTTCAAAATATATGTTTCTCTCTTTTATATTCCAAGTTAATAGATATAATAATAATATTTATTGAGGAGGCTTACATTATAATACAGATTTACAAAAAACAAAAAGCATAGTGGGATTTCATCAAGCGAAATTACGGCAAAAGTTGAAAAAAGGAAATGGTGTCCAGTCTTTAAGCAAATTTAAATCAGTTCTAACCAAGATCCAAGAAACCGAAGTAGTTCAGCATTGCAAAGAACTCGACAAACGATTTTATGGAATGACGCTGAAATCATTGCGTTTTTTAATTTACTCTTATTGTGCAAGAAACCGTTTCGAGCATCCATTTTCACCTGTAAATCAGTTGGCTGGTCGGGACATTACAAGATTTTTCCTGAAAAGGAACCGAGTATCTTTACGGGTTCCACGAAAAACAAGTATTGCTAGAACCATGGGCTTCAATAGAGTGCAACTAGCTCAGCATTTTGAAATTTTAGAAAATACTATAAAAAAAATATATAAGTTATATCCCAACCGTATCTATAACGTCGATAAAACGGGCATTCAGATAGTCCCAAACGATCTGCCCAAACATGTTGCCCCAGTCGGAAAGAGATATGTAGCAAAAGCTGTAGCTACCGAGCAAGGACAAACAATTACGGCTATTTGCTGTATGAGTACAACTGGTCACCATGTCCCCCTTTTTCGCCCACGGACCCACTTCCTGCGACATGGTTATTACTGATAGTGGTTACATGAACACTCCCACGTTTATCAAGTACCTGGAGCATTTTAAAAAACATACAAGTCCAACAAAGGAGAAATCCGTTCTTCTAATTGTAGATAATCATGTATCGCACACAAGTCTTCAAGCAGTTACATTTGCAAAAGATAATTTTATCCATTTATTAAAAATGTGCCACCACATAGCAGACATAGGACCCAGCCACTCAATCGGGTATTTTTCAAAGTATTAAAAGCTTATTATAAGAGAGTCGCTGACAGCTGGACCAGTTCCCATCCAGGACAGGTTGTCTCCATTTATCACGTGACTGGTCTCTTATCCACAGCATTTGCAAAAACTCCTACTGTAGATATGGTAAGAGACGGCTTTCGGTCTACAGGAATCTACCCGCTAGATAAAAATATTTTTTCGGACGTAGATTTTATGCAAGTGGAATTAACAGAGCAATATTAAGATGAAGATTCAGATGATGAAGGTCATGATTTTATCCAGTTTTAGCAATAAGAAGAAGAACTTGTTACTAATGCGATAGAGCCTCAGCGTCATCAAAATCGGACGTCACTTTTTTTGTACCTGGTCCTTCAAATATTGAAAAAGAAACTTACTGAGACGAAGTCGGCATCAACATCAGAAGTCAGTAATTTCACCTTCAGACATTATTTCCTTCCCAAAAATTAAGATAAAAAGGAAACAAAACAGGAAAAGTTTGAAGTCAACGCTACTAACATCGACACCTAATAAGAAGCGACTTTTAAAACAACAAGAAGAAAATAAGGAAGCAGAAAAAGAGAAGGAGAGGAATGCATTAATTAAGAACCAAAAAATCAAATCTCACAGTGATAAAGTTCGTGATGATAAAAGAAACCTTTTCGACGAATCATCATCTGATGAATCAGTAGCAGAAAGTGCTTTTCTGAAAATTCTTTCGGGGTAAACGTTCAAAAACAAGGGTGACAAAAGGCATCCCCGCCGTACTTTTCTTTTAATATTGAGAGCCTGCAATTCTACACCATCTACTAAAACTGATGTTGTTTGATTCCAATATAAATTTGCAATTATTCGAATATCTATGCCATCCAAGCCAATGTCTTTTAGAGATTCGATCAATATAGAGTGCTTAACACGATCAAATGCCTTTTGGAAGTCAATAAAACAACAGTATATGTCTACAGATGTATCTCAACATCATTGAGTAAGTACTTTAATTCCAAACAGTGCCTTTCTCGTTCCAAACCCGTTACGGAAACCAAGCTGAGTGTAATCCAGGTATTCCTTGCATTTATTCTAGATACAACCATGTATTACCTTCAGAAAAATTTTCAATAAGTGGTTTAACAAACTGATGGTTCTATAATCAGCATATGTTGTTGCTGCTGTCTTCTTAGATAGAGCTATAAACAGTGAATTAGATCAACGATTAGGTAGTTGTCCGCTGGTATAAATGATTTTAAAAAACGAAGTTATAGTCTCTAAACATTCTTCTTCTTAAGGTTCCATCTTCTAACGAAGGTTGGATATCAACATGGCAATTCTTATTTTACTTACAGCAGCTCTAAATAGTTGGCTAGAGCTCAGACTAAACCATTCCCTTAGATTTCGTAGCCACGAGGTTCGTCTTCTTCCTACATCTCTTTTACCTTTTATTTTGCCCTCTATAATCAAACGTAGTAGCCCATAACGAGGACCTCTTAATATATGACCGAAATATTCAAGTTTCCGCCTCTTAATTGTCTGTACAATTTCTTCCCTCTTATTAACCCTATCAAGGACTTCAATATTGGTAATTTTGTCTACCCATGCTATTCGTAGCATCCTTCGATAACACCAACGCTCAAAAGCTTCCAATTTCTTAATCTCCAGTTGTTTCAATGTCCATGCCTCAGATCCGTAGAGCAAAATTTGTAAAAATGTAGCAGCGCAATAACCTTATCCTTAGATCCATTCTTAGGTCTCTACTACACAATAGATGTTTCATTTTTTACAAATTTTGCCCTTGCTATTTCTATACATCTATCATTTCTAAACATTGCATAACTAAAATGTTACACTTGGCAATACAAGTCTATTTAGACATTTATTATTTATTACTACTGTAAATTAGTCAGTCATTTATATCCATGTTATATTTATATCTGAACAATATTGAAAAGTGTTAGAAACTAGTTTTAAGGAATAAATCTTAAATTTTTTTAAATTTCTAGGTTTTAATTTAAAAGGAGGTGAAGTAGGTTTGGCTATTACTCAAGCAACAGCACTAGCAAACTTCCTACAATGGGGTATGCGCCAATCTGCCGAAGTAACCAATCAACTTATGAGTGTAGAAAGAATATTAGAATACAAAAGTTTAGAAAAAGAACCACAACCAGTCGTACCTAAGAAACCTGCCAAGGAATGGCCACAAAAAGGAGAAATCACTTTTAAAGATACATGCTTGAAATACTTTGAAGAAGGACCATTAGTTTTGAAACATCTTAACCTAACCATTCAACCCAAGGAGAAGGTAATGTAATTTCTGTAATTTCTTTTTATTTTATATTATGTACACAAGATAGACACACCGGAGTTACAACTGGAATTTTTTCAAAATCCACAAGGAAAACAATTCCTGTAGCTGGCTGTATACCACGTATCACAAAAAAGAGGTTAGTCTTCGTAAGTGGGCACATTTATTTAAAAAACCCTTAAAAGGGTACATCAAAAAAACAAACGTTTTCGGACTAAACAGTCCATCATCAAGTTTAAATTTTAAAATTACCTAAAATAAGTATAAACCATTTAGTTAAAACAAAATTTCATAACCACGTTTGTTTTAACTAAATGGTTTATACTTATTTTAGGTAATTTTAAAATTTAAACCTGATGATGGACTGTTTAGTCCGAAAACATTTGTTTTTTTGATGTAGCCTTTTCAAGGGTTTTTTAAATAAATATACCCACTTACGAAGACTAACCTCTTTTTTGTAATTTTTTTCCTGTGAGGTCAATGATATTTTTATGTCGTCAAAATCACCCAAATTCCTAGAATTTTTTTAGTTATTATTCCAAAACCTATGCAAACTTTCTAGCAATAATTTACCTAGAGCTATTTCCACACAATAAAAACTATAATCGCAATTATTTCATCATTTTCTTTGCCTTGTTCGCTAGGCGAAGTCTGCTTCCCTAATTATATATTTCCATTGTCATATCCTACACAATACATACTACATAATCAGCATAATATTAAGCACCATGAAATGTTAGTCTGTAGTTTCCTTGTTATCTGATCTGACACCAAATAGAATAAACAAGAAAAGCGCTCTGATGCAACCTTAAGCCGTAATCCAACGGAACGTAAAGCCGTGTTCTTTATCTGATCACAGTTGGAGAAGAGAAATAGAGAATAGGTAATAGAAAACGACAAAATCTAAAGACGGGAACCAGCGAAACTTGAAATATCGTTCTTCTCCTCAATAGTTGTGGTTTACGATCCATAAGATGAAGCAGAACTGTAGTCCCGTCATTTATCGATAAATCAACATGGTTTAAAGGAAGGCCGGAAGTTGATGTACACCAAGTTCAACTCTTTCGACTCGGCTAGAAGTTGTTCATGGTCAGTGTCGTGGTACATTTACTATGGAGTGCTCTAATGAATTTGTGTTTTACTAAAACCCTCAATATTCGAGGGGACACGCTACATCGGAATGGTCCGACCACAATTTAGGGTAGGTCGAGTTAATTTATCAAAAAGTGAATATTTATTAATTTCATAGTAACGTAGCAGGACGTGAACCAGTGAAGTACACTGCTCCACGTTTCATGGGATCTCTGCTTTACATTTATATAAAATTGACCTGCCCCTCTCACACGTATTCTAGCATTTGTAATTACTCCCTCACACATGTCTCTCACATTTTTCTTAATTTAAAATCTCAACTTCACATAGGGAATAATCTGCTCACCATGTTAGAGCGATCGACTTTCACTATTAAGTGAAACACATTTAATGAAAACACTGCATTATTTTATTTGTAAATAGTTTATAGACATCGTTTAGAGATATCCTTCTTTTTCTTTACGTGTCATCTCCGTGACGGATGTTGGTAATCATCATTTCTATTCTGATCTTAGATGCTGCCGCTCTGAATAGTTCGATTGATGTGCATCCGTACCATTCCCTCAAGTTACGTAACTATGAAATTCTTATCCTTCCTACACTTCTCTTGCCCTGGATTTTCCCTTGTATAATTAATTATCAAGGTATGTTGTATCTTTCATTACGCATAACATGTCCAAGGTATTGCAGCTTTCATGTCTTGATGGTTTCCAATATTTTCAATTTTTTCTCATGACTTTGTTGTTTGTTACATGCTCGGTCCATGATATATTCAGGATTCTGCTATACACCCACAGTTTAAATACTTCCAACTTTTTAGTAGTCGACGCGTTAAGTGTCCATGCTTCTATCCCGTAAAGCATAGTCGAGAAAATAAAACACCTTGCCAGCGTAACTCTCTAGTCTAATTTCAGTTCTCTTGCACAAAGTACCTTTCCCATTTTATTGAAGTTTTTTCGTGCTATGTATATTCAAACTTTGATTTCGTTGGAGTAATCGTGTGATTAATTATTGTGGCAAGATAATTGTAGTTTTCAACTTGTTTTAAAGTTTTACTGGTAATTGTCAGGCTTTCATCATTATTTTGGGTTTTTGATATCCTCATAAATTTAGTTTTCTAGATGTTTACTGATAATCCATATTCTTCTCCATACTAAACTATCTTGTTCATTAGCTTTTGGAGGTCTTGGAGGTTGTCTGCTATTATGATAGTATCGTTCGCATATCTAATGTTGTTAATTGGTGTTTCATTGACCTTTATTCCTGCTGTTTCTCCCTAAAAAACTCTTTTCATAATTTCTTTAGAGTATGCATTGAATAGTAGTGGTGACAATACACACCTCTGTCGCACTCCTCTTTTAATTTCGGACTCTTCTGATGTGTGTTCATTAATGCGTATGTGTACCTGCTATTTATAATATAGATTTGTTATAATTCGAAGGTCATTGTCTTGTAATTGTTTTGCTTCGAGGACGTCCATCACCTTCTCATCATCACAGTCATTAACATCTTAGTAGATGTGTTGTGGTTCATAATTGGGCTTCAGCAGCTCGGACAGTTTGATTGATAATATTTCTCCACTGGTCGCGGTCATCAGTTATATGTATTGCCTCAGTATACTGTTTATTGAGAAGCTTTTTAGTAATGTCCGCCCATCGCTGTGGAGATCTTCCGCGTTGGCGTTGAGTCTGAGGCCTTCCTTGGACCACCAACCGCTCCATTTTGTGATCACTTCGATGGATATGGCCAAAGAACTTTAAAATTCTAGAGTAAACGGTACTGGAGAGACGCTGATCCGGTTTAATTTCATCCAGAACCAAGATATTTGTACGGCGAGCCGTCCATGGAATTCGAAGCAGGCGTCTCCATGTCCACATTTCAAAGGCGTCTATACGTCGTCGATCTGATTCTTTGACTGTCCATGTCTCGCATGCATAGTAAAATATGGAAAAGACCAGAGTTGAAACGAGTCTCTTTTTGTTTGTCATAGTAATGTGACGATCACGCCAGACCCCGTTTAGTTCACTCATTGCTGCTCTTGCTAGTTGAATGCGTCTTCTAATTTCGGATTCACAACTGCCTGTGTTGTTAACTAGAGCTCCAAGATATATCAAAGATGAGACTACCTCGCATCCCGCAATAGTTTGGGTTTCAGGAAACTGTTGTTGGCGATCAATAACCATGATTTTGGTTTTGTTGTAGTTAACCATGAGTCCAAATTTAGCACTTTCTACCTCGAGTTTTTTAATAATTTAATAATTTCTTCTGGAGTAGAGGCTAGAAGTGTAGTGTCGTCTGCGAAACGCAAGTTAGATATCTTAACACCACCTAGGTTTACTCCTCCCTCCCAACCATCCAGAACTCTGCGCATTATGAACTCCGAATAGATGTTAAATAATAAGGGAGATAAAACGCATCCTTGGCGTACTCCCTTCTCCAAAGTGCATTTGTCAGACAGATATCCGTCCATTCGAATATATGCCAGGTTATCTTGATACAGTTTGCTAATAGGGTGAGTCAAGTGTTTAGGTACACCCATTGTCGTCAATATGTTCCATAGTTTGTCCCATCTAACATTATCAAAGGCCTTTGTATAATCGACGAAACATATTAATATCGGGATCTGGTATTCTCTGGCTTTTTCTATGATGTTTCGTACATTAAGGATTTGTTCTCTAGTACCTCTGCCCTTTACAAGTCCAGCCTGCGCAGGTGCTATTTGCCAACTTATGAAGTTTTCTAGACGCCGTTGCAGTATGTAGAGGATCACCTTACTGGCGTGTGATATTAGAGCTAATAGCCTGTAGTTGTTACAATTATTTGTTGAACCTTTCTTATGAAGAGGTATGATTATGGTCTTTCTCCAATCCTCAGGCCAGACGCCTGTGTGCCATATTTCATTGCACAATCGATGTAATATTTTCACTCCACATTCCGGAAGATGCTTCAAGACGTCTGCAGGAATGAGATCATATCCTGCTGCTTTGTTTAACTTAAGTCTTTTTAAAGCGAATTCCACCTCGGAAAAAGTATGTCAGGTTCAGACTCAAAACTAGTGTGGTGTGTCTCTGTTGAAGGAGAATGGAAAGTGGAGGTCTGGCAGTCAGGTACAAACGGGGCGTCCGCTGGCGTCCGTATTGGCGTATAAAGACTTACAATACGCCCTCTAAACATCAATAACGTGTGAGTTGTCTGAATTTATCAAAGAGTTCTTTGGTGTTATTTGTGTCGGCGTGTAGTTGAATTTCTCTGCAGATTTTCTCTATATGCTTGTTTTTGTCTCGTCTACAAGCAGCCTGAATAGCTCTAGATAGCTGTCGGTACTGGGAATTCTTGAGATGGTTCTCGATTCCATCAATTTTAAGTTTTCTACGTTCTTCAACGAGGTCAAAAGTATCTGCAGACATCCACACTTTTTTTGGTCCGGTTGAGACGGTATTAGACTGTGCCTCGCAGTCAGTCAAGGTCTGTATCAAGGTATTTTTAGAAGATAACCAAATCTTTTCGGAATCATGAGTGACGATAGTTGGTAAAATATTTTCGAATCTTTCATTACATTGGATTTTAAATTGTTGTGTATCTTTTATTCTTGATATCCTCTTGTTTCGGATCCTAGCACATGCCTTGAATTTTTGCTTTAGCGTTGCAACAAGAAGTTGGTGGTCAGAGCCGCAGTCAGCGCTAGGTCGTGTTTTACATTGGCTAATAGATGTTTTCCAGCGATGTTTAATCATTATGTAATCGATCTGATTTCGGTGTCGTCCGTTAGGTGAGATCCAAGTGTACAATCTTCTGGGGTGGTGCCTATACATACACCTTCTACGGAATCTAAATTGGTTTCTCCAATATCTATATCAACTATTTGGTAAATGCGTTTATGGATGATCTTTAAAAACATTTTAAGTGTCTGAGACATCAGGCTTATGGTGCGGTGGTTGGTGCATTCTCTAGTATTTTTCTTTTTTGGGAGACAAATAAATGTTGCGGTCAACCATTTATTGGGTATGTCATACGACTGATAAATATCATTAAAGAGCTTTAGGATGACATCCATGTACTAATTTTCTATTATTTTAAGGATATCAATAGGCAGTTGGTCTGGCCCGGGCTTTTTCCGTTTCTGGTGTTTGTTAGTGCATTCAATATTTCTTCCTTTGTAATTTCTATACTTGCTTCTCTGTCCTCGAAAGATATGTCTTGTAGGTTTCCTCTTTTGTTGTCGAAGAGCTCTTTCATATATTCTTTTTATCGTTTCAGCTTTTCGTCAGTCTGTATCATAGTATTTCTATTTTTATCTAAAAGAGTTGTGTTGTGGTTTTTTTGGTCGTATTTGTTCTGAACATCTTTTATCTCTTTACGTTTTTTAAGTTTGTTTTGCCTCTTTTATCATTTTTCTGATTTCATTGTTAATGATTTTGTACCTGTGACTGTTTTTGTTCTTGGCTTGTCTTCTTTGGTCCATCGTGCCGAGTATTTCGACGATTATCCAGTTGTCTCTCTTTCTTATCGGTTATTTTAATATCTCTTTGTATGGAACGAGGAAGCACTTTTTTAATCTTTCCCATTGTTGGTTTATCTCGTAGGTATTAGTATCAAATTTTTCAAAGTTTTCATTTTGTTATATCAGCTTATTTCACTTTTCTAATATCTAATTTTAGAGTTCTTGGAGTTTTCTAATACGTTTAAACTTAAGCGTGACATTAGTGATTAGTGGGTTATGGTCTGATGTGACATCTGCTCCTGGATATGTTTTAACTGATTTGATGGTGTTACGATATCTCTCTTTAATCACGGTTTCTTACCACTTTTTTCGGTTTATCTGCTGCTGAGCGCTATGTATATAACCGTCTTATAGGTAATTTAAAGAACGTGTTTGTGATTATTAGACTTTGTTCTTGGCAAAATTGTATTAGACGATCTCCTCTATCGTTACGTTTCCCTAGTCCTTGATCTTCCATTTTTGTTCAGCTCTTCCCTTTTGTATTGAAATTTCCTCCCTATTTTTGCATTGAAATCGCCCATAACTACCGTAATTTTCCTGTTCTTTGTCATTTTCACTGCATCTTCAATTTGTTGGTAGAATGTTTCTAACTTATCTTCTGTTGCATCCGTCGTTGGCGCATATACTTGGATCAAATTTAGTTTTGTCTTATTGTATGTGATGTCTTTATTTGTAGTAGCATCACTCTTTCTAAGATTGGGGCAAAACCCTCTATTGATTTGTTGACCTCTGTATCGACAATAAATGCTATAAAATGTGTATGCACATTTTACCGATAAATTTAATAGCGGTTACGTAATTAACATTCTTTGTTTTAGGTTGGAGTTGTCGGCAGAACAGGTGCAGGAAAATCTTCCTTAATTCAAGCGCTTTTTAGATTGGCTCCAATTGAAGGAACCATTAAAATCGATGAGATCGACACCAAAGATATTACTCTCAACGATCTCCGTTTGAAAATCTCTATTATTCCACAAGACCCAGTTCTATTTTCTGGAACTTTAAGGTACAACTTGGACCCGTTCGAAGAATATTCAGACGAAGTTTTATATAGAGCTATAGAAGATGTAGAGTTACGAGATCCTGCTAATGTAATTAACCGATTGGAAAATAGAGTCATGGATAGAGGTTCAAATTACAGTGTTGGACAAAGACAGTTAATTTGCTTGGCGAGAGCAATTCTTAAAAATAATAAAGTTTTAATGTTAGATGAAGCTACAGCTAATGTGGATCCACAGTAAGTTATACTTATATATTTTATTGCATCAGTAGTCTCATTAGAATATTTAAGGAACTTTTATTCTTATAGTTTTCAGTCCCCCATAGTTTCCTACAGTGTTTTGCTTTTTTCTGATGAAATTTTTGCTATCTGTGTATTTTTAACTGTATTATGTTTTATGGCATATCATACAGCATTATTTTAAGCTTTTAACATTGCTTTGACTAGCCTGTTTTAACTCTTTCACCGTGAACTTTTAAGCATTTTAAACTTATTCCTCAAGTATTTAAAGATATTAAATTACAAATTACTTCCAAGTTATTTTATTCACTAATTGCTCGTTTATTACAGAACTGATGCTTTAATCCAGAAAACTATCCGGAAGAAGTTCTCAGACTGCACTGTGATAACCGTTGCACATAGACTAAACACAATCATGGATTCTGATAAAGTATTAGTTATGGATGCTGGACAAATATCTGAGTTTGATCACCCTCACCTACTTCTTCAAAATAAAAATGGAGTTTTCTACAGCATGGTTAATGAAACCGGCAGAGCAACAGCTGAACAGCTAAGAAAAATTGCTTCAGATAGTTATCAAAAACTACAAGCACTACCAGAATAATAACGAATATGTTGTAGACCTAAGAATATTTAAGGCTAATCGATTAATCTTTGATGATTGCATTAAACTAAATTTAAGTAATAACTTTGTACTTACAAATGTGTCTTTTTACAATGTTTTTTTACTATAAAAATTGATTTTTAAAATAATAAATGTGTTTTACATTTTTAACTTATGTTTTATTGTGCTACTTTTATCAATTTTTTCATTAGTAACACTGCTCAACAAAAATCAACTTTTTTTGTGACATGGATAGAACTTGGTGGTCAATAAAATCTGAAAAAGTTGTTAATAAAAACATGGAATGGTTCATTACAAAACTACAAAATTATATAAACTTAAATACCTACAAAATAAAAATTAAACAAGAAAAAGATATAAACAGCCATGGATAACACCACCGTTTACTTAAATCAATTAATGAAAAAAATAATTTATTCATATCGTTAAAAAGTTATCCTGATGATAAAAATTTACAGTACCTACAGGTAAAAAATAAATAAAAATAATGTAGCAAAAGTCTTCAACAATCAAATACACGTTTTTTATTTTAGTTCTTCGTTGAGTGGCAAGGTGGTTAAGACTTTAGCCGGCACACGATTAATCCGGCACTACCCAGGGGTTTTCTGGCCTAGTATCCTATTCGGTCGAAAGATGCTAGGGTGTCTTGTGCCGTGACGTAGATGTCCAAAAAAGATTTCTCCCACCGTTTCCTGTTAGAATTCAATGGATACGTTCTTAGGCTCTTTCTGGAATCTGGCAATAAGGCAATTAAAAAAAATCTTCTTTTTAAAAAAGAAGGAAATTAAAAAAAAAAATAAGATTTTAATTAAAAATAAATCAATAGAAAACAACATAGTGTTTACAAAAGCAGACAAAGGTAACCCTACTATTGCTATAGATAAAATAGAATATAATATCAAAACAATAAAATTTTTAAATAATCAAAATATTCAAACGTTACACAAAAATCCGATGAAAAATTTTAAAAACAAATAAAGCTAGCGTCAGAAAATTCAAAATCAATCATAAATCCAACAGAACAGAAATACCTAAATATCATGAACCCACAGCCTCCTAAATTATACTATTTCATTAAACTACACAAACCTGATCACCCAATAAGACCTGTAGTTTCTTTTTATACAGCTCCGTCATATAAACTTTCAAAAACACTGTTAGAGATTATTTTAGAACACACTAAATGTTCACCTAAATTTACCATAAACAATACAATAGAACTTTTAGACCAAAACAGTACAAATCCAATCATTACATCTGAAATTTTACATTTTTTGAAGTTTGCATAAACCAGGACTACTTTGAATTTAATAATCAAATATATAGTTGTGATCTGCTTTATGATGTTTTATTATTAATTAACACTAATTTAATTAATCCAATTATTTAATTAATTAATTCACTAATTTATGCAGTCATACAATTCAATTACTATTAAAAATTCTCAGGATGCCTTTTTTTGTTAATTATTACTTTAATCAGTTTACTTTATATATCTCTTCTAGTGGGTTCAGTATCTCCTAGTTGCTCATAATCGGGATAGAACAGGAAACGGAACTAACATTAAAACAACATAAATATGCACACAAATTATTATTTATTTTCAATAAGCAATACGATGAATATTAATAAATAACTTTTTTGGGCAATTATCTTTCCCAACAAACTCCTATACTCTAAATTTAATTTTAATTACAAACTATCTATTGATCTGTTTTATAATAATATCTACTAAAAAAATGACCATATAAACATATAATTTATTCACAAAAAAAAAATAACTCTTTGAAACTTGGAATCTTAGTTCGTATGCTTATATTTGATTTTATCTTTAGAATATCTTAAAATTTTCTTTCATTCAAATTATTTGACTGACCTTTATTTTTACACCAATGATCCACCTCCTCTCGATCAAACCACAGTTTCTTCCTTGATTGATTATGTCCGGCTACCATCAAATCTTTCCCGTGCTCAGCATCGATCCAAACCGCATACCAGCAAACTACTCCTCCGAAAACACAAGCCCAAGCCTCTTTTGACCGGTACTCTTTATTCACAAATTCTCCTTTCTTTCTCAATTATATCTCGTGGACTATGCAGACTCAAAAGAGGTATTGATCTTCTCGATTTTGATCTGATCTCAGCTTAAACCTTTTTCACTAACAAACGAAAACACTGGTACTCAGATTGACTACACGAAAACACGTCTTTTTTTCTGGTCTGCCGGTAACATCAATAATTCTTTCAATCTCTCGCAGACAACCTTCTCAACTCTCTCATTCCCACCATTCTTTTTTAACCAATCATAAGCATTCATCTTTCCCACTTATTTTCGATTTTGAAAATTTCCAACATGATATTTAAAACAAATAAACTACTTTCACTCAAATTACTTTTCAGAAACCATTAACAATTTTGCCTTTTTCAACAGAAATAAGTTTCCAAATTCTTGTTATCTCTCATCTAAATCTAATTCTTATTTACTTTCGAAAATTGCCCACCGCAAAATACAATTACAAGTTTATTCCTAAATCTATAATTATACGGGTTCCATTGTCCTTTCACTATTCACTCAGTCTTTCACGGAAAAACTCGTTAGGGTCCCGTCACGGAACAATGTTTTCTCTTATTCTAACTAATACAAATAAGTACAGGGTTGTATTTTAACTTATATGCCCGCGGTATATTAAAATAATAAAAAACTCTTTATTCTATTTCTGATCGATAAACTGATCCATAACAATATATATATATATATATATATATATATATATATATATATATATATATATATATATATATATATATATATTTACGGCATAAAGTGGAGTCCGCCCATGTTAAAATTCAGGTTTAAGTGAGCTCCGTGGTCAAGTGGACACCGATATACGGAGCTCACTTGACCATTCCCTAATATTGGTTCTGTCGATTCGTTAACATACAGCGGTTCATTATTTTTAAAAAAATTTTGGAGCCCATAAATACCCCTGTATGATAAATGTATATCATGTAGTTCACGTGTATATATTATAGGGGTCGTTCAGGTCTTTTTCACTGTATATTTGAACAATTAGTTTATCGGTTTAAGTAAGCTCTGAGAGTTTGGCAACCGTGCGATTATAGCGTATATTTTCAAAGTTTACCCTGAACGGTTTATATGAGCTCCTTATTTTTATCTACTTTTTGTAGGCCGTGTAATGCCATACGCATTACACTGTATAATCAAGGATATCTTATTACCGGGTATTATTACGTGCTAATAGGTACAAGGTACAGGTTATTTAAAAAACAGGTATATAGATACAAAAGGACTTGGGCTTATTATTTAATAAAATGGTCACTTGCATAGAAAATTTTATTTTCTCTGCATTTTTAAAAATGTTATTTTTTTACTTAATATTGTTTTATTAGTTCAATGTTGAAGTCTACGTTTTTTTAATTGTAGAAGTTTCGTACTATTTATATTTTTTTTACGTGAGTTTGTCTTTGTACGTTTTATAGAAGCATCCCAATAATAAAAACTGTTTTTATTTCATCCAATGTTCTGCGGTATCTTGTATAAAGTTTTTTTATTATTTTAGTTTGGGTCTTATTTGTACTACATAATATGATATCTTGATAGAAGGTTATGTCAAAATAAATATGATTAAGTGATATAGATATATATAATAGATATTTTTGTGTTAAAATGTGTAGTAGTGTACACAAAAAGAAATAATGGTTAATTTGTAGGGCGAAAGGACGTTCGCCTCATTTTTAGCTGACAAATATTATTTCTGACCTCAATTTACCTTTTAGTTTTAAACAATGATCTGTGAATAATCACGTGCAATACAAGCTACTTTCAAGGAATTTATAGATAGTCTACAGTTCAACGATTTCATGACATTATTGGAGGTTTAGTTTTGTGAAAGCGTTTGTGTTAGGGAAATTGAAGCAGCACATATGAGTTTTTCAGGCGTTTTGGCTGAAAATTGATTCATAGTTTATTTTTATTGGGCAATAATAGGTGTATCGTCTGTATATTAGAAGTCCTAGTATCTATAGGTATGGGTTAATCGTTTGTTTATACAATGTAAGTGTCTTTATGCTATCCCAAGCGAGACCGTTCTTCATCTGCTATTCTTACCATCGAGTGATACGAAAAATATTCTATTGTGTAGGCATACACAGATAATTTTATCGTTTGTTATCTACGGGGATATCATATAGTTTTTCGAGAAATATCCTGTAATTTAAGGTGTGGTAAGCGGAATTTATATTGAAAAATACCACCCCTGATACCCGATATTTTTCGTACCCGTCTTTGCTGTCTTGAGTAAGATTTAGTATTTGTAAAGTACGCGATCTTCCCTATCTATAGCCACTTTCGTCTTATAATTTGAGTTTTTTTTCTAATATCGGTGAAATCATATCATCGTCTCTTGTGCAAAAGTATTTTAAATAGCTGACAAAACAAAGATATTGGCCAATAGTTTTTGTGGTCGTTGGAGTTTTTGCCAGGTTTAAGCAAGGTAACAACTTTGGCTCGTCTCTAGACTTTGCGTATCTGCATAATTTGAATACAGTTGCTCATCATCCGGATAAGCCATTGTACTGTTTTGGTCCAGATTTCGTAATTAACTGTGTGTTCAGATCCTCAATGCCGGTAGTTGTATTATTTTTCATTTAATATGTAGATGGTGGATCCAATCAAGCTGACTGTTTTTGTCCTTTCTTATTTTAAGTTTTTCTTTGCTTCTTTTACGACAGAGATAGCAGATCTATATCTATAATAAGGTTTTCAGCGATCAGCTTAACACCAAATATCCTAGGTTAGGCCCTATATGTGTTTCCTGCACTAGAAATACGCCAGATTCATGTTTAGCGCATATGTCTGATAAGTTTAAGTCAAGTAAAGTTTCTTTATCTCTAGATATACCCTTAACATATATAGGCATATGTTATTAGAATAGTTGGTAGTAAAAAGAACAAATTTG